GACCTGACATGGACATCTTGGACTTCTTGGAACTTCAGGGTGCGAGTGAATCTTATACGCGAGTATGTATACAACCAATATATTTGTTTTTTGCGTGTTTTTGTTTAATTAAATACTTTATCTGTTTTAGGAAATTTTAGGTACATAATATGATAAGGAGGGTGGAGGGTAACTCCGCCAGGTATTTTTAACCTGCCGGTCCCAAGCCCGGATAAAGGAGGAGGGCCCTCACTCTTTTTTCTATTTTTTTAGATTGTTTTCGTCGGGTCAAATCTTGTTTAGGTTGTAGATGGAACTTAGGTGGTTTTACAGCTTACAAGTTCTTATACCTAAATTTGTCTTCCTATTTTTGTAAGTTCGATTAGGAAATTTTCAAGAATAAAAACTGAGAGACACCCTATAAACATGTAGGTATACAGGTACAATTTATTATTATATTATTGTCGTACCGCCAATTTTAAATTAAGCGGCACGGCAGTGATGACGTTTTTTATCTATTACGTCACTAGCGTGCCCGTAAAAAATAAATTGCAGGCACTCTAACGTTCACCTAGTCACTTCGAATTTCAAAATTCGACGTTAGTATAAAATAAGGTTATGTATCTCCAAAAAATTATGGAAATATCAAATTTTTTCGTTTATAGGTTATAAAAATTACAATTGAGATGTATATGTATTAGGGTGTGTCATTTTTAGGTGACATTTTTTTTTTCGCTGTTATACCAGAAAATCTAATACTTTATAGAAAATAAAAAATTATGCCGCCGGGTAAAAGGTTCTAAGTGCAATAGCGGCTTAGCTCATTTAAAAATTCAATTTCCCATTGAAATAACACAGAAAATTTTTTTTGTTCGTTTTAATTAGATTTTTCGCTGTTAAAAACTTTTTTCCCTAAAAACTTTTTTATAGCTTTTGTAGGAAATTCTCTACAAAATCATCCCTTTGCTCGAAGAAAAATAAAATGGAATTTGAGGTCTATTTTTATAAAAGTTATATTTCCAGCGCTATAACTCTGAAACTACTGGTTATACGGTCTTCGAGCAAAGGGATGATTTTGTAGAGAATTTAATTTCCTACAAAAGCTATAAAAAAGTTTTTAGAGAAAAAAGTTTTTAACAGCGAAAAATCTAATTAAAACGAACAAAAAAAATTTTCTGTGTTATTTCAATGGGAAATTGAATTTTTAAATGAGCTAAGCCGCTATTGCACTTAGAACCTTTTACCCGGCGGCATAATTTTTTATTTTCTATAAAGTATTAGATTTTCTGGTATAACAGCGAAAAAAAAAATATCGCCTAAAAATGACACACCCTAATATGTATATGTATGTATACATATATATATCTCCCAAAAATAAATTAAAATGAAAATTGTGGAAATTGTCAAATTTTGGGTTAATAAAATGACAATGGACGTTGAATTATTTTTTAACTTTAGTAATTAGAAGAAAAAACAGAAAATAAATGAAAATGTCAAGTTTTGACGTTTATAAGTTATTAAAATGACAAATTTAACGTTATTGAAAAATTAAGAGAAAACCTTAGAAGTTTTTTCTTGTAAGGAGAAAACTATAAGAAAACTGAAAGAAAATCAAAATGTCAAAATTTGACATTTATAGTTTCAGAAAGGTTAAACTTCGACGCTAGTACAAAAATAAGGTTATCTACAAAAAATTATGAAAATGGAAATCATGAAAAATAACAAATTTTGAGGATATAAAAATGTCAATTGAGGAAAAGTAATGTTATGTAGCAGCTACATAACCTTACTTTTTATGATTTTTGCCGCTACATTGTAGCTGCAAAAATCATAAAAAATGTCAAATTTGGATTTTAATAGATTGAGTAAGATCACCTCAAGTGGACCCTCCATTTCCCACTTGATCGTGGAATTCAAATAAATATATTTTAATATAAAGTAGTCACCATCAATAATAAAACCCTAAAACAGTTTTTTGAAATTTTCATTTTAACACCAATTTTTTTTACAATGAAAATTTTGGAGACTTTTAATTAAAAAATAGATAACAGAAAAACCGTTAGAGATATTTTAATAAAATTTTCAGGATTTACTGTTTAATATTCACATTTTGAAAAAAAATAAAAAAATTTAAATTATTTATTTATTATCATATTTTTAATTAACTTTTAAATAAACAAATAAAAATTTTAATGACTTCTCCCTCAAATTATAAATTTGTTTTATTTCAGTTACATGCATTGTACACATTAGTTAAATATTCTGCAATAAAATTTCACTGCCCGCTTATAGTTTAAACAATATGAATTTATTTATCCCCGAGCGCGTGCCATTTCGGTAAAGCGCGCTACCGCGCACCGTAGACTCGGCATCCGCTCCAATCAATATTAATAAATAATAAACTGTCCTTTACAATAGATAACAATGTTATTTAACAAATTTAATTTTTTTAATGTAATATTTAAAACAAATAGATATTATATTTGTTTTTAAATATAAATAAAGACTGTAAAAATTAACAAATAATTAAATGAAACATAAATGTCCCATGGCGGGTTACTTTTTTATTGTTTTTTTTTTTTAATTATCTCCATTTGTTTTATATAAACGTAAATAACAAATGAATTTTACAAGCCATTTGTTAAATAAGTTAATTAATACTAAACACAAGAATTCCAATTTTGTAGATTTGCGTTTAACTACTTTATTAATTAATTAACTTTATAATGTTTATTAATATTTATTATATTATGGGGCGAGTGAATAAATGTTCTAATCTTTTTTTAAATTACGTGATAGTTTCAGAAAAAATTACTTATGACACAAGCTCAGTTTATTTTTTAATTTAAAGTTAATTGAAAAATAAATTCGGAGCTAATAATATTTAAAAAATGTCCAACTTTTTTGACGGAGCAGGTTCTAAAAATTATATTTATTTTATACTGAGAACCTGCTGTGATGTCACATCACACAGTAAAGGAGCATGTGATGGCTTATGAGGAAGCGTGAAAAGACAAGCTTATCGTGCTATCTAGTCGCGACAATGATAAGCGCATTACTACTGCAGAGTCAATATTTAAATGGGCCAAAAATTCATTTAAAAAAATTGCTTTTGGTTTTTGCTCTCAAAAGGAACATGATTCTCATGTACAAAAATACAAACTACATTTTCAACAATCTGTTACTATACAAATTACCCGCCAGTTTCACCATTATAAAGATATAGACGGTGTATCACTTCAGTGTAAGCTTTTTTCGAAAGATAAAAAAATTAAAACTATTAAAATTTTTAAAAAAAATTATAAAAAAGTAACATGCTGAGGGGAAATGTATGTTTCATTTAATTATTTGTTAATGTCTTTATTTATAAATACAAACAAATATTATATCTATTTGTTATAAATTAAAAATTAAAATATTTTTTTTAAATAAAATTGTTTCTTATTGTAAAAAAGTTTATTTTCTATAAATACTAATTGGAGCTGTGGTCGAGTCTACGGCGCGCGGCATGCCGCGGCAGCGCGCTGAACCGACAGCGATCGCGCTCGGGGATAAATTATTTCATATTGTTTAAACTAATAGCGGGCAGTGAATTTTTCTTGCAGAATATTTAACTTAAGTGTACAATGCATGTAACTGAAAAAAAAACAAATTTATAATTTGAGGATAAAGTCATTAAAATTTTCATTTGTTTTTTTAAAAGTTAATTAAAAATAAAAATAAATAATTTTAAATTTTGAATTATTTTTCAATCCTAAAAATTTCATTAAAATGTCTCCAACGGTTTTTTTGTCATCTATTTTTTAATTAAAAGTCCAAAATTTTCATTTTAAACAAATTGTTGAAAATTTTGAATGGCTTGTAAACTTAATTTGTTATTATTGTTTATACCTATATAAAAAAAGAAATAAAGATAATTAAAAAAACCATAAAAACAGTAGATAACATAACATGGTTTTCTATTGTCAACGACAGTTTATTATTTATTAATACTGATTGGAGCGGATGCCGAGTCTACGGTGCGCGGTAGCGCGCTTTACCGAAATGGCTCGCGCTCGGGGATAAATAAATTCATATTGTTTAAACTAATAGCGGGCAGTGAAATTTTATTGCAGAATATTTAACTAAAGTGTACAATGCATGTAACTAAAATAAAACAAATTTATAATTTGAGGGAGAAGTCATTAAAATTTTTATTTGTTTATTTAAAAGTTAATTAAAAATATGATAATAAATAAATATTTTCAAATTTTTAATTGTTTTTGAAAATGTGAATATTAAACAATAAATCCTGAAAATTTTATTAAAATATCTCTAACGGTTTTTCTGTTATCTATTTTTTAATTAAAAGTCTCCAAAATTTTCATTGTAAAAAAAATTGGTGTTAAAATGAAAATTTCAAAAAACTGTTTTAGGGTTTTATTATTGATGGTGACTACTTTATATTAAAATATATTTATTTGAATTTCTCGATCAAGAGGTAAATGGGAGGTCCACTTGACGTGATCTTACTCATTATAAAAATGACAGTTGAGGTTCAGTTAATGTCAAAACTCGACGTTGGTACAAAAATAAGTTTATGTATCCAAAAATTATGGTAAATGTCAAATTTTGACGTTTATAGATTTAAAAAATGACGGTTATTTTAAAATTTGACGTCAGGAGAAAAATAAGGTTATGAATCTCAATTGAGATGTATATGTATATGTATGTATACATATATATCTCCCAAAAATAAATTAAAATGAAAATCATGGAAATTGTCAAATTTTGACGTTAATAAGTTAATTTAAAAATTTAACTGTGTTGAAAAAATAAGAGAAAAAATAAAAGAAAAAAATTGAAAATGTAAAATTTTGACATTTATAGGTTCAGTATCTCCAAAAATTATGTAAAATGGAAACCATGAAAAATAACAAATTTTGAGGTTAAAGGTTATAAAAATGACAGATGTCAAATTTTGAGGTTTTAAAATAATAATTAAGGATATAATGTTTTTGCAAAAAAATCATGTCAAATACCTGAAGACGACTCCATTGGTGCAACTAAGTAATTTTTCGCCATTTGGTGACCATTTAATCAAAACATTGCCATTACCGCCAGGTCTTTTCAAAAAACTTGTTCTATCCATTTCTACATCCCAAACCAAGAGAGTATTATCGCAGGCTGCAGCAGAAACTAATAAATCGCCTTTCGGGGACCATACAATACTCATGACAGCCTTATGCTCGATTCTATGCAGTATTATGGTGTTACTTATTGAGGGTCTTGCTACTAGGGAGTTGGGGTCAATATTCCACACAATAATGCCCGTTTCGTGTGCTACAGCCACCTCAGTGTTGGACATTGGTCTCCAAGCTATGCACGTTACGTTTTTTTGTTGCTTGCATCTCAACAGCGGTGTAAAGTTTGTTTCCGAACTGTAAACTCTAACACTATCATCGCAAGTCGCCACAGCAACTTTGGTGTAATAGGGATGCCAAGCAATGCATCTTATAGTGTTTTCTTGCCAATTTTTAGTTTGAGATAAATTATTAATAAGACTTGTACTTGAGTATCTAATATTGGGGTTGAATATCACTTGAACTTTCCTAACGTAGTTTAAAAGATTCAACAATAATCTTGAGCCTTTAGAAACCACAATGTGCTCACTGGACACCCCTATATGCAGAGCCTCGTAGAAACCTTGTTCGTAGTACACTTGTGTTAATTGCTTTAAAAAGGGAACATCCACCGGCAAAAATAACGCCCTCCCTTCATCCCCCGACGACACGGGATGCAACAAATCCCTTGTTATGTGTATTTTAGGGTGTTTTTCCACCTAAAATAACACATTTCGAAAAATTTCAACATAACCTAAAAAAATATTCTTACCGAAGTGGTGAAAGCGTTAACGTTCGCGTATTCCAGGTTCATGGATTGCATGCGGCCGTTTATTTCGCAAACACTTATTTCACCGTCGTTTGGCACTTCGAAGTCCTGCAAATTACGCATCTTTTTTATCGGAGTTGTAGAAATTTGAATTAACGTTTGGGCAGTGTTGCCAATCATACAACAAATGTAAATTAAAAACGTAATGTAAAAAATAGGTTTAAACGCGACAACACCGCGAGTTGTTGATAGTTTGTTTCTATGGTAACGCTTTTCGCTTTTGACAGTTGTCGTTTGACATTTATTTATGTAGCGTTGTTTAAAATCTTAAAATGAGTTGTGAACATATACTTACCAGTATATGGTAAGTATATGGTTGTGAAACGAATAGAGTCAACTACAAAGTAAAAATTGTTAAAAAAAGGTATGGGAACCAAAAATAAAGCAACAGGAAACGTGCAGTATGTTGAATGAAGCGAAAGTCTCGAGAAGGGCAGAAAACAAAGATAAGAAAACCATAAAAGGTAGGATTGTCTAATTATTAAAAAATAAATAAATAACTTACAATAAATAACAATTATAATAATTTACTTTAAAAATTTAAAAATTAAATTTAAAAATTTAAATCTCACGTGTTCGTAACCCAGTGTTGCCGGATCTTCTAGACGAAAATAACAGATTGATAATTTTGACATTTTTTGTCATACGCTAAAGAAGTATCGGGCCTAGGGTATCGGGTTTTCGGAACGCGCGCGCCATCTGGTGGACTTCGATAGCATTGCGTGAATTTAAGAATTGTCAACAATACATTTAAAGCACAGATTATACATCATGTTTAAATAAATAGGTAGTTGGTGCAGAATTAACTAATGATAACTTTACCTAATATAATTTATATTTAAGTTTGGACATTTTTAAGACATTAGTAAAAAATAATTTTTGCACAAACATAACCTTAAAATCAACCGTTTTTATATTTAAGTTCGCTAAAAAACGCCGACAACTGCATTTTAAACAACAAAATATACCTACGAATTCATGGCAACATAGTATTATATATAATACATAATATAATGGTATTTTACCGTTGAGTGGAGACTTTCTTAATCAACGCTTTTAATAATGCTAAATGCAGTTTAAATTTAGACGACTTATTTGTTTGACGATTTTTACTGAATTGATATGTTTACACTTTTCACGTTAATCACTACTAAAATGAGTATTTATTGTACGGTTTTTTCCGATATTTGGTAACATTTTCCGGCTTTAGTTTTACTTTTGTTACGATGATAACAGCCGAGTGGTGGCGCTACTAGCGATACTTCTTTAGCGTATAGTGACAGAAAATAAAACAAAATAAAAAGTAATTTTAAACCGTATATTTACACATAATAGGCACTTAAAAATAAATAAGTTACATGTTGGACCTGATCAGTTTGACCAGCCCGTTCAAAATCTCGATCGACTCCAGATGCAGCGGGTTGTTTCTGTCGAGCTGTTGCAGTAAGGAAACGGCGCTGTTGCCGAACTGCTTCAGCTCCGGCGTGCTCTCTTGGAACCAAACGCGCGGCAGAATGAGCGTGATCAACTTCAACTTTTGCACCGCGTCCGTCACCGCGCAGAATTTCACCGCGCTGAGTAAATAACGGTTGAGGAGGGAGTTTACGGCGAGGTCTTTTAGAGTGCCGTCGTTGAGGATGTTCTGCCAGCTGGTTATGTTTTTGAGGAGTTTTAGGCCGCTGGCGAATTGCCGCTGGAAGAATTGCGATCTGCTCTCGGCGAGTTTGGGGGTTACGGGGATGAACACGTCGTTTTCCAGGGAGGTTTTCATTTTGTGCATTACGGCGTTGAAGAGGTTGTTTAGGGATTTACTTGCGGGGCCTAGCGAGGGGTATTTCCGGATGTATCTGTTAATAATGCCGACGAGTCGTAGTGTTTGCGAGCTGCTTAAGGGGTCCCAACACCGATCCACAAGCACTGTTAGTTTTGGGACGATAACTTTTTCTATTATGGTGGGTAGGAGGTTTATGTCGGGGTCTTTGCTGAGGGTTGACTCGGTTTCGTCGTCGTGCAAGCCGTATAAAGCCATCGTGCGATACCAATCCAACTTCTCGATATCGGAGGTCTCGTTCAGAGGATCCCAGAAGACGAGATTCAGCCGCACCAGCGGACTCACCACCTTGGGCAGGCACAACGTGGCATAAGCCTCGGTGTAGGCGGTTAAATCCGCCTCCCGCCACTGCTCGAAGCGAATCAAAATGCTTGCCGCGCTACTGTACTCCTCAACTACATCCTCGAATACCACGCGCACTTCTGATTCGATTTGCTCGCGCTCCTTGGCGAAGTTTAGTTCGTCCTGCTGCGAGATTTCGTCGTCGCTGGACATGCCCTCGACGTGCTTGGGCGCGCCCGGGGTTTCCCGGGCGCGCCGTCGCCGCGTGCGACGCCCCTCGCGCTCCGCCGCCCTGCGCGTTTTTTCCTCGTCGTCCGGACCTGGATTTAAGTGCGAAGTTTGAATATAGGTTTTTACAATTATGTTTTGTAATGATTTAAACTAAATATTTGTAAAAAGCGACATCTATACGAAAATTAAGTAACCATCCCAATTAACATTTTTGACGTTGGTTCCAATATAGAAAGAAAGGCGAGCACACCACCATAAAAGTCTTAAAGGGACATAAAAATCGCTCATACTCAGTGTAGTTCAAGGAAAATACTGTGTAAAATTAGTGCTAAGTTTTACTGCCTGTGCAGGTGAAATCAGTGTGCCTGTTCCCCAAAGTCTTAATAGAAACATTAAATAATGCCTGAAATTCCATACGGATATGGAAGTAATTAAGTGAAACGGGACAGATCAAGGAATCACCTATGTGAAGAAGGAACGAGTCTAACCAAGTGTGGAAGGGGCATCTGCAAAATCTGATCATTATTAAATAACTGCATGACCTAATACGCAAATTTGCAACAAAAACATGGCAATAATCAATCATCATTACCGAAAACAGCGTAAAAGTGTAAATAAACCAATAACTATAATTATAAACCAATAATTATAATCAAGTAAGAACGTCACAAAATATATTATAAGCATAATTTTAAGAGGCCAGCCCCATAAATTTAAAGTGTTTGAACGTTTCCGAAACTAGAATAAACAACAGTCTCTTAAAATAAGTTAAACGAGCACGTAAATAAGAATAACCTAAACACAAAAGTCAACTCAGACAAAGGGCACAACTAACGACAAATAAGTTTACGCAAAATGGGGTAATAATTCGTGTGTATCTGCAACATTTTCAGTCAATTTTATTCAAGATTACGTAATTTTCCTACCTTTTTTAACGATTCGCCATAATATTTTACAATTAAAGTAATAAAAAATCAAAGGATAAAATATGTTCTTGACATAATCATATTTTAAAGTTATTTTAATATTTTAAAGTATCAATTATTGTTAAGTATAATTAATACAATAACGGGCAAAGTTAATGGTGAAAATGTTTATTGGATGGTTACTTAATTTTCGTAAAAATACCTCTAAAAAGAAAATAAAAACTGTATAAAATAAAAAAGTTAAAAATGTCAAAATTACTTGGAAAAAATAAAAAAAAATGAAAATTAGACAGGTAATTTTTTACTTTTTAGAATAGTTCTAAATAAAAACATAAAAATGTAGAAGCATTTAAAAACGTTCAAATAAAAATGAAATGGGGCAGTCAATTTTATTCAAGATTTCGTAATTTTCCTACTTTTTTTTAACGATTCCCCATAATATTGCAATTAAAGTAATAAAAAAATCAAAGGATAAAATATTTTCTTGACATAATCATATTTCAAAGTTATCAATTATTGTTATGTTTAATTAAAATAATAACGGGCAATGTTAATGGTGAAAATTACGTCAAAAATGATTATTGGGATGGTTACTTTATTTTCGTATAGATGTCGCTTTATAAAAATATTTAATTTAAATCATTTTTTACTCGTTTATAAACTCATTTAATTAAGCACTCGCTCGCAAGCTCGCTCGTGACTAAAATGGAGTTTATCTAACTTGAAACATAATATACTATTAAAAACAAAAATTTAAAAATTATTAAATCGTTAAAAATAAATCTAATAAGAAAATAAAAAAAAAACTGTATGAAAGAAGAAAAAAATTAAAACTTGATACATAAGGAAAAAAAACAAAAACTTAAAAATTATTAAATCGTTAAAAATAAATCTAAAAAGGAAATAAAAAAAATAAACTGTATAAAAGAAGTAAAAAATTAAAAATGTCAAAATTACTAGGAAAAGTTTAGAGTTTATCAAACTTGATACATAATATACTATTAAAAAAACATAAAATAAAGAAAAAAAACAAAAATTTAAAAATTATTAAATCGTTTAAAATAAATCCAAAAAGGTCTAAATTGTTATAAAATGGCCTTAAAAAACGTGAAATTTAGACTACTTATTTTTAATATTTTTTTCCATTTTAGAAAAGTTATAAATATTTAAAAAAAACATTAAAAAATATTTAAGAAATGCGTTAAAAAAAACAAATGGCGCAGTCGATTTTATTCAAGATTAGGTAATTTTCCTACCTTTCTTAACGATTCCCCCTTTGATGGTGGCCTCCTCAGCTTGATCTCTGACGTCCTGCCGACGTCGCTCGATCAACCAATCGGACTTCTTCGCCATCAAATCGGTGGCGCGCTGCTCCAAGGCCGTTATAACCCCCACCTTCTCGTCCAGGCACTCCACCAGGTCCGTGATGTAGCCCCTCAGTTCCTGGTAGAACTTAAACCGCTCGGCAGCGTCGGGGGCCTTTACCTCCAGTTCTTGCAGCTCCCCAGTCACTTCCTCCACGTCGTCCGTGATTTTCTCCAGCCGCTCCCGATTGCGCTCCTGGGAATCCCGCAAGTTCTGGAAGTGCTCCTTCAGCTTGTCGGCTATCATTTGCGGGGTCCTAGGGACCCCAGGTTCCATCGCCGGCGTCACGTTTGGTTGCTGTTGCACTTCGCTGTGGTGGTACTCGCTGTAAGCCATCAGTTCTTGTGCCATGGCCACAGCAGTCGCACCTAAGGCAAGTCCCGTAGAAACAGTATTATCACGATGAATTTCAATCGCAAATAACTTTTTTATTTGATGTCGGATTTAAACGAATATTAAAGAATATTGTAGATAAATTAATGGAGAATCGCTCACATTTTAAAAAATTACCAAAAAATACACGTACGTTTATAATATACAGGTTTAAACAAAAAGATGTTTTTTACCATAAGTTTAACACACTCTGTAGAGTGGCAAAACCGTATATCATTCTAAATTAAGTTTAAATTATCAACTCACATCTATTCTTAACAGTTTTGTTTTTGGTTCACCTCGATAAATTTATTTTTGTGGAAAATATGGATTTTTAAAAAAACATTGCAATTTCCAATATTTTTCTGTATGAAGAATTAAGGTTGCTATGGTCCATCCATAGGCTATGGAGAATGACAGTGACAGTTTTGTTGAATCATCCCATACTTGGACATGTCATACACGGCTTTCAAAAGCTATCAAATTGTTTTTTGCAAATTAATGTTTAAATTTTAAGGTGTCTTCTTACTTTTAAAAATGTCTCCGACTGATGTTGCCAGAGCTATTAATTTAATCCAGGATGGACGGTTACAGTATTACGTGGCAAGTGTTTTAAACGTCATACAAAGGGCAACATCAGTCGGAGACATTTTTAAAAGTAAGAAGACACCTCAAAATTAACACATTAATTTGCAAAAAACAATTTGATAGCTTTTGAAAGGTGTATATGACATGTCCAAGTATGGGATGATTCAACAAAACTGTCACTGTCATTCTCCATAGGCTATGGATGGACCATAGCAACCTTAGTTCTTCATACAGGAAAAATATTGGAAATTGCAATGTTTTTTAAAAAAATCCACATTTTTCACAAAAATAAATATATCGAGGTGAACCAAAAACAAAACTGTTAAGAATAGATGTGACTTGATAAATAAAACTTAATTTAGAACAATATACGGTTTTGCCGCTCTACAGAGTGTCTTAAACTTATGGTAAAAAACATCTTTTTGTTTAAACCTGTATATTATAAACGTACGTCTATTTTTTAGTAATTTTTTAAAATGTGAGCGATTGTCCATTAATTTATCTACAATATTCTTTAATATTCGTTTAAATCCGACATCAAATAAAAAAGTTATTTGCGATTGAAATTCATCGAAAATTTGTGTGGATCGATTATTTTGCACGTGAGTGTATTTTGAAAGCACGTGAGTGTATTTTGAAACATTTTGATGGCGCAGTCAAATTTCGTCGAAACTTTCTATAGAACCCGTAACTCACTTGTGACTCCTTTGCGTATCTGTTGGTCCTCCCATTCGTCTTCTTCGTGGTCTGATTCCTGCGCAGCCAAAAATTGTTCTCTGCGTCTTTCTTGGTCTCTCCGCGCCAAATTTATGTCCATATCTATCCGTTCTTCGTCGCTGCCGTCTTGGTCGTCATCCCTCATCAGTCTTGGCAAAAATGTGAATGTGAGATTTTTGGCAATTAGTTTTTTTGATATGACGTAATAAATATGGTATAGAATTTTTTTTTTAATTTAAAAAGGCCAAAAATTCCGTGTGAATCAGGTGAAAAACTTACACAATGTTCAAATAATAAAATCTATTACAAAATTTAAAAAAATCAAAATTGTGTTAATACACAAATAAAATAAAAAATTTCCACCAAAAAATACAAATTTCGGTAGAAAAATGTTGAACAAAATTTAAAACAAAATATAAAGATAAATTTTTTTTGTATAGTATAGAATTATTTTTTTAATTTAAAAAGGCCAAAAATTTCGTGTGAATCATGTGAAAAACTAACTGCAAAATACTCAAATAAAAGAAATCTATTACAAAATTTTAAAAAATCAAAATTGTGTTAATACACAACTAAAATAAAAATTTCCCACCAAAAAATACAAATTTTATATGGCCAAATGTCGTAGAAAAATGTGGAAAAAAATTTAAAACAAAATATAAAGAAAATTGATTTTTTAAATATTTAGTAGGGTTTTGAAGTGTCGAAAAAAACCGGAAGAATTGGAAAAACCTGTTTTTTCCCAAAGCCTTGGAAAAATTGTCTTTTTTGGGAAAAATTGAATTTTTTTTGTATGGTATAGAATTTTTGTTGTATTGTATAGAATTATTTGTTTAATTTAAAAAGGCCAAAAATTTCGTGTGAATCATGTGAGAAACTTACAAAGTTGTGTTAATACACAAATAAAATAAAAATTTCCTACTAAAAAATACAAATTTTATATGACCAAATGTCGGTAGAAAAATGTCGAAAAATTTTTTAAAAAATATATAAAGAAAGTTGGTTTTTTAGATATTTAGTAGGGCTTTAAAGTGTTTTCACCAAGATTTGAAAAAATTGTCTTTTTTGGGAAAAATTAATTTTTTGTAGGTATAGTAGGTATAGAATTATTTTTTTAATTTAAAAAGGCCAAAAATTTCCTGTTAATCATGTGAAAAACTAACTGCAAAATACTCAAATAAAAAATTCTATTACAAAATTTTAAAAAATCAAAATAAAATAAAAATTTCCCATCAAAAAATACAAATTTTTATGACGAAAAAAATTTAAAACAACATATAAAGAAAGTTGATTTTTTAAATATTCAGTAGGGTTTTAAAATGTCGAAAAAAAAACGGAAAATTGGGGGGAAAACCCGTATTTTTCCCAAGCCTTGGAAAAATTGTCTTTTTTTGGAAAAATAGAATTTTTTTTGGAAAATATACACATTTGAAAAAAGTAGCAATCAACAACCTTTATTATAAAAAAATAACTTTAAATTAAATGAAATTGATTTAAGAATATTAACATTAAAAATATCCAACTTTAAAATAATGAATGATTTATAACATTAAATAACAAAATTATAATTTTTTAAATAAAAGTTATGTTAATACATACACTGAATATGTTTTTTTTTGGATATTTCACATTTTTTCACATTACCCTTGGAATAAAATTTAAAAAAAGAAAGTCAATTTTTCTAAATTTCCCATTTTTTCCGGAAATTTTAAAACCCTAATATTTAGAATGTATACCAACAAAATTAATATTAAAATATCCTTAAAATATCAAAAGAAAAAAATTTTTATTTTCAGTCCCAAAAACATTAAAATGTTTAGTAAAAATGCTTTTAAATGAATTAAAAAAAACAGTAGACAATAAAAAACAAAATTAATAAAAATATGCCACCTTCCAGTATCTTCAGGTTCCTCCTCTTCTGTGGGTATAAAATCCCCCATTTCTCTAGCACGTTGCCTTTTTTTCCTCGCAGCATGGATCATGGCTGCATCGGGAATGGCCCCCGACTCCAAAACACTCTTAAAATTGTCCGGTTTCGAAAACCTATGCGGCGAACTTTCGTCCTCTTCCGAAGACAAGTCATCCTTACCTTAAAGTTAACAGTCAATGATTACAGATGAAAACTCGATGTTTTGTTTTATAGGTTATACCTGCACATAGAGCGTCTCTGCCGCTCATAATAATAGGCGGCGGCGGCGTGGGCGGCTTCCTATGATTGCTGTTTACAACCAAAATCAAGTCGTCGGTGACAATCTCTTTCTTTGGATCCCTAACCCTGCTTTCCTCCCGATCCACTTTGGGCTCCTTTTTCCTGTGCTTCTCCTTCTCGAACATCCGCAGCATCTTCTTGCTGTGCGACGATTTTTTCACCTGAAAAACCTCACCCTCCTCCTCAGTCTCGAAGCTGAGCAGCTTCTGCTTCTGGTGCTTTTTCGATTTTTCCCTGGACTTGTTCTCTTTTTCCGGGCGCACGATCGTTTGCGCCGCCATCGGCTCGTCGTCGTCGTCATTTTCGGTGAAAACGCGCCGCTGAACGATGTTTTTCTTCGGCTTTCGAAAAAGCGACATTATTGTTTGCGAGCAGTTTGACAGAGTGAGGTTATGGCGCGGCTTCTTCTTCCCAAACGGTCGTTTGAACTAATTTTGTGATTTAACCAGAGATAACCTGATCTCTGATTTAACTTTACCAAATTTGCATACATTAAAAATTATTTTGCTTTATTACATACATTTATTACGAATTATGGCTTTATCATTTAAAAAATACGTATTTTATTCGTTTTTAGCCGTTTTTATTAGGCAACGTGTTCTTAGTTGCATATGTTCATTGGAAGAAGTTATATCTCTGAGTTATATTTTTTATTATCTCTGAGTTATATTTTTATATTGTGATTTTATTGTTCTGTTTTTGTAGATTGTATACTTACTGATAATGTTTGTCTTATAATATATGATTGTATTTATTCATAAATACGTGTTTAATACATTGGTAACCATTTTATAAAGGCAAACATCATCACAAGGGTGTATTCTGGGTTGCATATCTACATTAAAAAAAGTGCTATTTTTACAAAAATGGCCATTAAACCATTAAAAAGTCATTATATTAATAATTATTTTGCTAAACCCGGAAGATTCTATCATTATTATTCAAGGGCTATCGTTTTAATTAATCACTGCCATAAATACGTTGTATAATAAAGAAATGTGTTGGTTAGAATGCGTATTGTCAAGTTGAGTGAAAAATGCTTATAATTGCATTTAACCTTTGGGTAAACAGTTAAAAATCTAGTCTATTAAATGGTAATTAACGTTGGCATGCTAATTTAAAAGTTAAGGTTAAGGTTGGTGCCCACCTCATTTTCATAATAATGAACAATGCTTTATTAACAACAATAAGTGGGGAAGAGTGAGGAGAGGTGGGACTCAAGTGTTGTGTTTGATTGCTTTTTAGCCTGGGATTTTGCGAGGAAGTGATTGGTTTCGTGCTTCTCCATAAGACTGACTTTTAAACTTGGTTACCTCCTCTAGTGTTTTGTAGTTTTTTATTGTAACAATGGGCAGTGATAAGGGCAAGAAGGGGGCTTACTCTGACGGCGTGACGAACTATCTGATAGCCTACAACGGCATTCAAACCGTGGGGTGAGATTTTTTGGTGATTTTATTAATTTATTGGTGTGGCCTTTAGGCGGATATTCGGCCTCATTTTAGTGCATTCGAATCCAACATAACTGTTTTTGTGTTCTTTGATTTGCATGTTTAAAATCAATATTTATTCCTTCATAATTACATAATGTTTATATTTTTTTCCATGTGGGGTTTGTATATTTGTATTTGTAACTGATAAGTTCAAGGGGAAAGATAAAGAATGCGTTTTTAATTGAAAAAATATGTTTTGTCATTCATTTATATTAATATTTATTAGGTAGTTTGAATCATTTCTTGAATATTAAGTGTGGATTCTTTATTTAAATTTTTATCACTGTAGGTACCTACATGATACAAACAATGGGTTGTTGCATTTTTTACAATAGTTTTACCTAAGTCAGTTTTAATAATATAAATTACCATATAGATAAGGAAAAAGTTTCATTTCCTACAATTGTCATAAAACTGTAGGTAATTTATTCCTTTTAAAGAATTCTTTTAATGGGTCTTCAAGGTCAAATTTATAGTATGTCTAGATTAAAATTGCAAAATCCAAGATGTATTATTAGGTTTTGCAAGTTTTGACATTAATAACCTTCTTATATATTTTTTTAATATAAAACATGGTTTCTCTATGATATAAAAATTCTTTTTTTACACATAATTTGTGTCAAATACAAACTGTCATAAAATAGGTAGGTATTACAGTTCATTTTTTTTATCTGGACTCGTGTTTTTTTGTTAGGTTGGTGGCTTATGCCAGTTTGACTTGGTATTTTTAGTATTGAAAAATGGCACTTCTGCTAAAGAATTTAATTAAATACTTTGACACTGTCAAATTGACAATAATATTTATTATTGATAATTTACTTGTCAATTATAAATAAAAAGATAATTATGCCAAAAATATTAGCAACGAATTCGAATGTAAAACCTTTTGAGGGCAAAACTTCATTTTGATGATTTTTGGAGTAAAAAAGTAACGAATTTGGTTTTATAAATCACATATTATTTTCACATTATTCACCATTGGACAACATTTACGTTTACAAAAAATTTTATTTTCTTTTGTATAAATTCTTTTCAAAGCGAAGATTATTATCCGCTTGGAATACTTTCTCTTCTGGGCCGTAAAGCAACCTATATTTAACTACTTTTTTATATGATTTTACTCATCCAAGCACCACCAAAGCCAAATTAATTGCATTTTTAACTACGAATTTCGACAACTCAACTTGACAAGTGCACAATGTAATCTACAATAATTTATACATAACCACAATTAGATTTATAACTAGCTTAGTTTGTTTTAATCAATGCGACCAATTTTGGTTCTTTATTTACCAACCAAAACCCTAAATTTGCAACGTTGCCGCAGTACAGATAAAAAAATGAACTTTAGGTGAAGTGGGGTAATTCTAAATTTCCTACCTACAATGTTAAAAATTTTGAAAAAATTGTGTAATAAAATTCCTTTCAAATTAAAAATAATAATGTAATAAAAGTTATTATAATGATTGGTATTTATAAATTAATTAATTATAAAAAAAACTTTTCTTTTTTAAATCATTTTGTTTACTATTCAAATCCCAAAATGGTGTACATGGTGTTATGTAATTAATGTAATATATTAAAATACTGAAAACCTTTTGACATAAGGTTTAACACACTTGTGTTCTGCGAGTACTAGATACTAACAAAGTTGCCAGTTGTAAAAAATTGTTACTAAAAATTTTTCTTGCAAAAAATAAATAATCAACAACCAATAAAAACGCCAAATTAACAATTATAATATATTACATTAATTACATAAAACTCTGTATATTATTTTTAATATTTCACGAAAGTAGCTCGGATGTTTTTTAAATCATCTCATTCTCTAAATAGACTAAAAATATTTAAAAAAATTTTAACAACTAATTAAAATATTTTCACAAATTCCTTTGCTTCCAAACTTTATGTATGTAAAAGAGCTGTTAAATTTGGCATCAAGGTGATAAAACCCGAAAACTTTTTAGATGGAGTTACCTTTTGTACCAAATCATCGCCTACTACCTGACGGCATCCGCAACCGTCACGCTGTACGAGACCGTGAAAACCACGGTGATGATTTTCCAGAACGCCGCCATTTTGGAGGTTTTCCACGCCCAGATGGGTATCGTGAAGTCCAACCCTGCCATCACGGCTTTCCAGGTCGCGTCAAGGGTCATGGTGGTGTGCGGGGTACTCATGGCAACACTGTCGGCCAGAAGTACCGTCGGACTACCTCTCGCCCTTGTGGCTTGGTCCATAACCGAGGTGATCAGATACGGCATGTACACGTTGCAGCTGATAAACTGGATACCCTATGTTGTCACGTGGTTAAGGTAGGACAATTTGTGAGAATTTTGAAATAAAATGTGTAATTTATACGCTAAAGAAGTATCGCTAGTAGCGCCGTAACAAAAGTACCACTTTAATAATCAGCTGTCAAACGCTTAAAAACTGTGGCTTGAGTTTTTACCGGTTTTCCAATAAACAGTGTTAATCTGAATGAAGAAATAAATTGCATACAGTCTCTGTAAATATAAATTGTACCTATTAGATACAATAAATACACAGTTTAGTAGTGATTAACGTGAAAAGTGTAAACATTCCAATTCAGTAAAATTCATCAAACAAATAAGTCGTCTAAATTTAAACAGCATTTGGCATTATTAAAAGCGTTGATTAAGAAAGTCTCCACTCAACGGTAAAATACCATTATATTATGTATCATATATAATATTATGTTGCCATGAATTCGTAGGTATATTTTGTTGTCGGCGTTTTTTAGAGAACTAAAATATAAAAATGGTTATGTTTGTGCAAAAATTATTTTTTACTTATTTCTTAAAAATGTCCAAACTTAAATATAAATTATATTAGGTAAAGTTATCATTAGTTAATTCTGCACCAACAAATGTACTTACCGAATTGGATCCTTTGGCAAAACATGAAAATGCAACGATTTAGTTCTTGAATTTTATTTGCAATTAAAAACACAATAATCCCTTTGATAAAATACACACACTAACGTAACTATATAAGCATTTAAGCGTTGAGTTTCTTAATCAATGATATAAGGAATAATCAATCGAAATCGAGTACTGAAAAAGTTTTTTAATTTTTTCCTTGCAACGTAAAACACAAATAACGTGCGCGATTTAGCTGTGCAATTGAACAAAATTTGTCGAGTAAGGCTTCTGCCTTATTTTGTGAAAAAACTACCTATTTATTTAAAAATTAGGTATAATCTGTGCTTTAAATGTATTGTTGACAATTCTTGAATTCACGCAATGCATTCGAAGTCCACCAGATGGCGCGCGCGTAGCCAAAACCCGATACTTCTTTAGCGTATAAACTCCTTAGTTTAAAAGATGGCCGTCTCAAAAATGACAATTTTGAAAGGTCAAGTGTTCTGGCAACATCGCTATAAAACATGTGACACACAATTATTTTATTTTAACGTAAAAAACTTTCGTTGGTCATAAACTACAACTAATAGTTGAATAGCAATAAACTACCAATAATTCGATATCTTTATAGTTCGACAAATTGAAAATACACCAATTATTGATAACAAAAACTTGACCTCAATTTCAACTTTAAAATTATTTTTTTAACGACAAAGTCTTAAGGTTACATTTTAAATCAATTCACGAATATTTTAAATGCTTCATTAAAAGTAAATTTGCTTTAATATTTCCCAGAAGTGGGCAAAGTCCAAAAATCCTTACGGAATAAATAATTTTTTTTAAGTAAATACAAATACATTTACAATAGATGCAAATAATAGTAAAACAATTGTTATGTTTTTCTCTATTTACCCAACATTGTTTATTTGTATTTTTTCTAGTTTCAATAATTTTATTCATAGAAAAATGACGCTAGTAAAACTGGTTTTTTAAAAGCGCGTAATGGACACCTAACTATTATTAAGTAGGTACATAATAACAATTATTATTAGATTACCTTTAATTGTTATTCATTTATTTAACATAAGTGGACTTTTGATTTGAAAAGTTTCACTTTTTAATGACGTCTGCAGTAACGTTTTATCTTGCGGTCTATATTTTAAACTTTAATATTGTCAACTTTTACCTTAAAGATAAAATCTTGTACCTATGCTGAGAAGTGCCTTTTTAGGCAGAATGAGTAATAATAGAACATGTATTATGTTATTGAAAGTAAAACTTACAAAAAATATAAACGTTGTTTAACAAGTAAATTTAATTTATATTTAATTGACAAACTGTTAATAACCATAAAACGTGTCTTACCTACTTTATTTAAAAAATAAATAATGAAGTTAAAAATAGTATTTTTAGTAAAAAATTCCTGTGTATTATTTTTAAATTAATAAATAAACGTCAAAAGTAATCAGAAAGCTGTGTAGAAAACCTATTAAAAGCCGGGTCCAGATCAATAAATTTGTGTGTTGAATGTTGTGTGTTGAATTCGACAAAAATATTTGCGGCGCAAATATTTTTTTATTGTGATTTGTCGGGCAAATATGTGCGTTGTTTTACACCAATTGGTGTATCTATTCCCAGCTAGCACAGAAACATCCCAACAATGTACAGCGATGTAAAATTGGGTACATTAAACCTCCCGTGCAATGTACTGTTGATATCGCATGTCTATTGAGGCAACCTCCGAATTTCCGCAACATGTTTACATTGGACAATGTTTTCGAGATGTTACTTTGTTACGTACTGAAAACGTTAGTTTGAAACATCAATTAAAGTAACTTTAAAACATGCATGCTATGTTTAGATGTAATGTTCCATGAATGTAACTTATTGATATAAAAAGGCTTTAGCAAAAGATACAGGCATCCGGCAAATCATTTTATGTTTTTATACTTCTTTTTTTAGTATTTGTTTTATAAAATGTAAAAAAACTTAAATTTTTAGATAATTTTTGTTACATTATAAACAAATTTGTTTATAATGTAACAAAACTTATCTAAAAATTTAAGTTTTTCTACATTTTATAAAACAAATACTAAAAAAAGAAGTATAAAAACATGAAATGATTTGCCGGATGCCTGTATTAATGCATAAAAAAGAAAAACAAAAACACAAAGTAATTTGCTTAATATGTAAGTTCTAAAGAAATTAAAAAAAACTACTTATAATAAATTAATATATTCAGCTAAAAAAAATTGTATACACACTGTACAAATAATAAATTCACGTTTTCCAATCATGTTGAGAACATTGCTTCTGGATCTATGAAAAGCTTGGGATTTATAATTCGCAATACTGGGGGTTTTAGAGATATTAGAACATTTCAGTCTCTTTATTACGCATTTGTTGCATCTAAGCTGGAATACTGCTGTATTGTTTGGAGTCCGCAATACAATATTTATAAGGATAGGCTTGAAATTTGTTTCGTTTAGACTTGAAGGTATCTATTCTGCTAGACGAACAAACCACTTGCAGCTTCTTAATAGATTTTCTTTACTGCCTTTGGAGCTAAAAAGAATAATAATGCATTTGAAGTTTTTGTATGGACTGTTGCATAACCAGATTGATTCTATAGCACTCCTTGAATCTGTGAATTTGCGTGTTCTATTTTTTCAAAGCCGTAGTCAATTAACTTTTACATATAAAACACCTAGAATAAATGCCATGTATAATTCACCCGTTCAGAGAATGTGCAGATACTTTAATATTTACTGTAGCTCATGTGATATTTTTTACCAGACTTTTAATAGTATAGTTAGTGCTGCATCTAGCAATTATAATTTACTTTAATTTTAATAGGTATTATCCATAATATATTATACTTAACAAATTTCTTTTCTATGTATGTATTTTGTCCTGTAATTGGAACATGTTCTGTTGCGCAATAAATAAATAAATAAATAAATAAATAATAATAAAAACAACAAATTTAGATACAAAATATATATTCCCATTTATGGGTTTTAGTGGCAAGAGGTTTACTAAAGCTTATCAAAAAGAAAGGTCTGTCTAATCTGTAAGCATAGCAAATGCGTCTGGCAGGTGAAAAACTGAACATTATTTTTCAGTTTTTTACCTGCCAGGCGCATTTGCCATGCATACAGAATACTGACTTTTTTAATGAACTTTAGTACACCCCACAATCCACAAATTGTGGATTGTGGTACACCCCTTGCCACTAAAACCATTTTTATCAGTGAAGAAAAACCCATCGGAAAACCCACTTAATTTCATATATACAGGATGTCCCAAAATCACCGATACAAAAACAAAAGAATAAGTAAAAAAGATCACAGCATAGACACAGTAAACTACTTACAGAACAAACCACGCATAGAAAAAGAAGTGTTCTTTGGTTGGAAATAGAACATGAGATAACCTAAAATGAATGGCTTCCAACCAGTGTTGCCACTCGTTTATTTTATTTCGTACTAGGTGGCTCTGCCATTTCGTACTAGATTGTACTAAATGTTATATTGGTAAAATTGGCCACAGATGGCAGCACCAATAATTCATATATTTCGTTTGAAAATTATTATTAATCTAGGTAACTTACTTGTCCATTTTTATCACATTTCACACAGGCGAAAACTTATAAAAAAACTGGAAGTAGCAGCAAAGAGTTCTTTACTCTTTGGTAGCTAAAAAAAAGAAGCCTGTGAAGGTTGCAACACCCAGCGTGATTGCCATTTTTGTTGCTGCCATCTGTGGGTAATTTTACTAACATATCACTGACATGAAATCAGTCAGTTGTTTGCGTTGTTGCCAAAATGATTAAAAATTATTTTGGTTTTAATTCCATAATGGAATGGAATTTCCATTTAAACCATATATTTGTGGTTTATACCAATTTTGTTGCGAGAAAATATTTAACTATAAAAAGTACTAGATTTTGCTAAAGAGTACTAACGTACTAAACAATCAATTTTAGGACTAGATCTAGTACAAAAGTACTAAAAGTGGCAACACTGCTTCCAACTTGATAAATGCAAAATTGACATAACATTGATAGATTTTATTATCACCATCAATAATACTAGATATTAATAAATTAAATTTCGATTGTTTTTAAAGTTTTTTCACTAATAATATTTAAATAAATTATAATTTCACTCTATTTAAGCCTTTTATTTTATTTATTTATTTTTATATTGTTGGTACCGTTAATCATATGACAAGTAATATACTTAAAATTACCTTTAGTTACATTCTTGGTACATTTACATTAGATGTTTGTTGCAAGTACTTATGTCATGTTATAGGTATGTAACAATACATCGATGTGCAATATTAAAAAATAATATATCGGCAATATACCTGGTATGTTTTCAACGAGATGTATTTATGCGACCTAAACAGAACATCGCACGAGCTCGCGTTATGTATCGTGCTAGCTGGGTTAACATTAAAACAAGCACTCGAGGGTCGTTCAACGCAAATCTCTTTGAAGTTGGTAGGAAACCGACAGACCGGTGGATAGCGTGCGTTGTATCTGGCGAAAATATTTGCGTGTTTTTTTGTGCGGCGCACAGTCCACATCTATAAATATTTTGACGAACACGAGCAAATTTGCGTCAAATACAACGAACAACGTAAATATTTATTGATGTGGACCCGCCTAAAGATTTCGTTATGTATTTTGTTATTAAGGTAAATTCACATATGACAGAATCTGGTCACTACTTTCAGATACTCCACGTTTGTTATATTGTATCCGATTGGCGTTACCGGCGAACTACTTTGCATTTACGCAGCCCAACAAGAAATAGGCGCCAAACAACAATGGTCCATAACCATGCCGAACTCTTTCAACGTGATTTTCAACTACCAGCACTTCTTATGGTTTATCATGTTCCTGTACATTCCACGTAAGTTTTGTAATCTACGTTGAAAATCATTTTTTTCTTGAAAATTGCTTAGTTTAAAAGCTACAGCAGTTTTAAAGTTTTGCTCTTTTGAACGTAATTGTCAACATTTTGAGGTTATCTGTCAAAAATACAACGCCATCTTCATTACTTTAGGTTTTTTGACAGATAACCTCAAAATGTTGACGTTTGAAATATTCTTTTTTTCTTTTAGTGTTTCCGCAGATGTACATGCACATGGTGCACCAAAGGAAGAAGGTTTTGGGGCCCCACAAAAAGTCTCAATAATTCCTGAAGATCCTCACTAATATAATTTATATTGTTCACCATGTATATAAGACATCTTGTTAATTTATTGTTATTTAATAAATACATACAGGTTTTGGATATTTTTTATTAAATAAACCTTTTAATTTTAATTGCTTAGTGCCCGTTGTATTTTCCTTGAATGTCGACTTCTGGACTCGATTAATGCTTTCTCCAACTCATTGGCTATATGAAGTAAGTTTGTAGGGTCCGTCTGCAATAAAATACTTTCCTTTTCACTCTCCAACTTATCTTTATCGCTGGTTTTAAGAGATAAATCCAAAGTTATTAGCGGGGTAACTTGTTCCAACAAAGACCTGGACGAAACTTGCACTTCGAACCTCCACTGTAGGTCGTTGTAATGGGGCTCATTCACAGCCAATTTCGACAAAATTTGCTGTATCTCCCCCTGCTTTCTACCATAAAAAACCCCCAAAACCCCCTGCTGCTCCTGACTGAACCCCAACGTGAGAACCGAGTCACGAAAGTCCGCCTCGCTGAGCTAAAAGAACCCCGTTATTTAGAATACGTACATAACCTCACTCCTTACGTGGTGCTTGCAGCTCAGCAACAGCAGATTGATCAACCCGTAGATGCAGTTCTGCACAGCTTCGCTGTCAACGTTCAGCTTGCCAGCTGCTACAGCGTAACGCTTCAAATTCGGCCCGTTCTGCAGGAAATCTATCGCCAGCTTGCAGAAATCCTCTATAACCCCAACGGGTTGCTCTGTAAGCAGATTCAGGTGCTCTTTGTGGTCTTGTCTCAAAGAAATCAACATTTTGGATGCGTTTGTTTACTTATTTTTTTGACATTTGACATTGCAGTTTATTTTGATCACGCAGCGCATGCGTGTGATTTTAAAAATGTCGCGTTATTTAAATTTCATGTATTGAAAGGCAAAAAAGGTAAATTCGACATATTTAAATCGTTTAAACTTGTTTTTTTTAAATAAAATAGAGTGTTTTGTAAACGTAAAATTGTTAATAAGGCATAGGTACTTTCTTGCTTTAAATTCATAAAATAGTTGTTTTAAAACGAAATTAAGTTTTGTACATTGATATTTTTTAATAAGTTGGTTACACTGATGTCATGGCCAAGATGTCCTGTTTTTCGCCAATTCTTATTGGTGTTGCCATGGCAATTAGTTGTTAATTTCAATTAATACCAACATTAAAAACGAGATTCGCTATTGTTTTAAAAAATGTCGCGCTGAAGCGTTGTTTAGATTTCGTTTGTGTTTTAGAGGTAAAAAGTGGTCAATTATAATCGTTTAAAAGGTTTTTTTTTATAAAATAAAAATGTTTTTTAAGAGTTTTTGATGCGAGAGAAAAGTTGGGAAGCGTTTTTTAGCAGCAGAAGGTAGGATTTTCTTGTAGTAAAATTGTTACATATATTTCTTTTAATTAACATTTTAAAACATTCTTTTTTGCTTTAAATACACAAGTTAGTTATTTTAATACAAAATTACATTTCTTAAATTATTTTATTTGGTTGCTTCTTTGTTGATTTTAATTACTACATTAATACATAAACGTTGTTAAATATTTGCTTTTCAAGTGTTTTTTCTTAATATTATATTGTTTTAATACAAAATTAAGTTTTGTAAATTGAATTTTTTAATAAGTTGGTTACCTGATGTCATGGGCAAGTTGATCTATTTTTCTTCAATTCCTATTGGTGTTGCCATAGCTATAATTTGTTGATTATCATGACTACCAACTTAAATACAAAAATTATGATAAATACTTACTTACTTTTGTTGTTTTTTTCTTATTGAATAACTAGGGAAAGGGTAGTAAAACAATAATAGAAATTATACTTTTATTTTAATATATAGATATATTTCAAAACTCCAATAATGTACAAAAAATATCTGTGTCATTAAATTGTTTTTGTCTGTCAATTTGTTCATTCATTTTTTTAATATTTTTAATTTAGTGGCTTGGGGTGTAATTGACAATATAATCAAGTATGAATGCTAATTATTATTTTTTTATATAATTATGGTCTAGGAATTGTTTCCTAGAGTAACAGTAACATGGCTCTTATTGCCTATCACAAGTCCAACTTAAAAACGACATCTCTCAAATAACGTACTTTAAATTATGTATAAAATATTAACAGTTACTATTTTTTTTGGTAATGCGAACACTCACAAAAAGGAAGACAACACTAAAAACACATTCAAAAAAATTGAAATTTAATGTTCTCGCATTCCTTCGTCTATGAGCAAAAGAATGCACATACCAAGATTGCTATAGGAAACTTAATTTTTCACGTACAGGGAGATTCCTCGCAACGTCAATTTAACATTTAAAAAATGACATATTTCTCTTAAAATCGGAGGAATCGCGCTGCAAGACGATAAAAATGATTTTTTCGGCCGCCCCTAAACGTCTAAATCACTTTTCCGAAACGCGTTACGACTTTTTCCCCGGCAAATCTAACGTATCACATTTTTTCCGTCCCGGGTGAAAAATCGTCCGTCAACAACTGGCGGCAGAAAAAATCCTAAAAAACTAAAATAAAAGTAATGCTTAACGAACTAAAAATATATATACTATACAACTCGTAAAATAACGTAAAAACAAAATTTGTACAGGTGAAGAAGAAAGTTGCGAACAGCAATCTGTAATTATTTTTTTAAATTTAAACAAGTCCAATAATAAAATATAATATATAATATATATATATGTATAAATATAAACAATGTCCTATATACAATTGCACTCAAACCCTCAAATTCTTCCCAAAAACAATGCATCGCACTACCTTTAAACGAAACAAGCAACGTAGTAATAGACTCGGGCGCCGAAAAATAATTTATCGCGAATAAATTATTTTGTCGTTTATCCTCGGTCTATAATGCACTTTTTAATGATGCAGCTAATCCTGCCTACGAGTTACAGCCTGGCAGTCGAGTACCCATACACTGAGAAGCAGAAAAAAAGGTGCTATCAGTCGGCATCTTTTTTTCGCGTTTCCTTAGCGTTTTTCGCGGTATCCCGACCGATGAGGTACCTAGTAGTATATATTTCTATTATTTACAAGACGTCGGTGGTGGCCCCCTGAATGCGGGGACTTTGGTCACTCGGACAGCAACTTTTGCAGCAGCGACGATTTGTGATCACCTTGTCGAGCCACCTCCTCCATAGAAGTCTACAAAACCATACGGGAACATCATTTTTTGAGATTTTTTTTTCACATAAAAATGCCGCCAAAAACTGATTGCAGTTGGTGACTTTGTACACCGATTTTTATAATATTGGAGTATATTAGTTAAGGAGATTTGGAGAATACTTTTTATACTGTGCACATCATTTAAAATATACAGGGTTGGCCAAAAATCGCTTCTTTTAATAAGGCAAAAGCGTAAATTCATGATTTTGGCATAACACGCAAAAAAGATGTTTTTTTAGATATTTTTATGCTACAAAATGGAATTCTTATTAAGACGAATTTTCAAAAAATTTCGAAAAGAGGAGCAGCTAGGATTTTGGTAAATTTCATTTTAAAGTTGTACAAATGTTTACTCTGGCAAAGGTAGCCTTTGCGATAAACAAATAATTAAAAAAAAATATGATTTTTTAACAAATTTAAAAAAGTCAGTTAGAATTTTGGTAAATATCGTTTTTAAATCTCCAAAGAGTTCCGATCAAAAAACTTTAACCATTTTTCGTTCAAAATTGAAAACTACTAAAAAGCCTAAATTAAACAACATTTCAAATATTCTCTAAGCGTTATTATATTTAATTTTATTAAAAATCTATTTTTTTCATAAAAGGTTAATAAGAATGCCATTTTGTAACCTGATATACGTATAAATATCTAAAAAAAATGGGGATAAATCTTTTTTGCTTGTATATATCAAATGATGTGTATTTGTATTTTGTTTTTGTATTTGTATTTGTATTTGTATTTAAAAGTCTCCTCAATAATTTACTCTAATTTTATAAAAATCGGTGTACAAATGTGTACTCTGTCAAAGGTAGACTTTGAAATAAACAAAAATTTTAAAAAAAACATGAATTTCAAAAAATTTCCAAAAGAGGAGCAGCTAAGATTTTGGTAAATATCATTTTTAAATCACTAAAGGCTTCCGAACAATTTCAGTTTTTGGCGGCATTTTTATGTGACTTAAACTTCGTTCAGTACACAAAATGTCGAAATTAATTTTTTATTTCAACACCCTGTACAACTTCATGGCATAGGCGTGCATTTTTACATTGACAGAAGTGTTAACAGAATTTTTTTTTACAAAATAGAATTAAAGCGTAATTTTTGGTTAGTAAACGGGTAATTTTTTGAATAAGCAAAAATGAGTGATAAATATGGCACGCCGTTTTAACATTTATTAAATAGTTTTGTGAATCTTAAATAATTTTTTTATAGTTATTGGCCAATTAACATAAATACTATAAAAACAAGAGTTTTATAAATAGTTACCTCAAAGTCAAATCATTATTATTATAACTATCTGTCGGTAATAATATAGGAAAAGACCGTGAAAAACTATAAAAGTTAAGCAGTTTTTGAGATATAGTCAATTCCATATTATATGTAAAATTGATTATATTTCAAAAATGTTCTACTTTTATAACTTTTGAGACATTTTCGGATTCAGCGAATGATATTTCATAGGAATTGACTGCTAAATGTCATGGAGACAAATTGCTGTTGACGAGAATTATTAGTGGCTGCTTTTTCGCTATGACATTTTTGACTAATTCATTTTTAGAGATTAAGTAATATAGTGATTTCTTCGTCAAAGGACATCTTGCAGAATAACAGTGATTTAAATACAGTGCATGATAGAGAACATAAAAAACTAATGGCAACAAAATTAATAAATTCGGAAAATACTTAAATATTAGATATATATATATATATATAAATCCTGTTCCGGCCTAAGCATTTAAATGCTTCACAAACTAGAGATACCACACTTGATGATATTTGCAAAAAACTATTTCAGAAGTCAGATCAAGGAATTAGTAGTTACTTTCAAAATCCAGAAAAGGGATGAGGAATCCGAGAAAGAAATATATGAATTATGATATTTACAAAAAAAAATTTACCTAAAACAGCAATTTATCTTTAAAAAAAAAGTTGTTATGTTTATATAAAAGTTGTATGTCCAATAAGTATGGTCCATGTGTCCAATTACAATATAAAATGTCCAATTACTATGTTTTTATAAAACTATTATTAAAAATTCAAATATTCTTATATGTCCAATAACTATGTGTTATAAAGTTTGTGTTAAAAAATTATTAAAATTAAAAAGTTTTGGTTTGAATTTGTAAAGAGTCATTTAAATGGTAGTCAATACATTTTTAATCCAAAAATTACCACTTTAAAATTTAAAACTTTAATTGAAATGTAAAGTGAGAATTTTTCTATTAAAAATTTATTTAAATGACTCTTTTCAAATTTAAATCGATAATTTTGTAGAATTAAATATTTATACTAAAACTTTTACAGTTTTATATTATATTTAAAAAAATTTGACTTTCAATTGTTTTGAGTTAAAAAAAATTACTTTGTAAATTTCTTCACACTATTTTCTAATAAATTCTAAAACGGCGTGACATAGATAAGCTTTCTTGATTCGTGAATGATGCATGCACAAGCTTGTGTTAGTAAAAAAAAACATGAAAAGCATTGAAAAACGAAAAGTATTAAAATGACCAAAGTAGTTCAAAAAAACTTTAAATTTAAAGTTGGCTTGGTGTTTTTGACAGCTGACAGTTTATTTAACCAACATAACCTCACTTTAAAGTTCCGTTCGAACCACTTAAAATTGTGTTAAAACGGTCTGTTTTTTTCAGATTAAATTAAAAAAAAACAGAACTGGAAGAAATGATTATTTTTTTAAATGTGTTGTTTTTTTGTATCTTACCCTGGACGTGGCCGGTTGAGGAGACATAGCGCCCATATCAGAACCCATTGCGCCCCAAAGTTTCGGGTTATCACTCGCACCTGCACGCAACATTGACGTCATAATACGCAACGACCCCGACAACGCCAGAAAAACTCGGCAACGCCGCTCCGAAGTTTCATGTTATGTAGAAATATCAGAAATGTCATAATTTGACGTTTTAAACGTCAAATAGTGTTTTGTATCGGAGCGGAGTTGGTTTTTTTGACCCCATAGAGTTTAGTAAAAACATAAAATACACACAAATGATATGTACATTTTTAACGATAAAATAAATATTTTAATGATGTCAAACTTTTTTGGAGAAAAAAAAATACAAAAAATACGAAACAAAATAGAGAATATTGAAAAAAAAAACATGCGTACTTAAATTTACAGTAAATAACTTTTTTGTCTATAACAAACTACAATACTAAATAATCATTCATTATTATATATTTTTTGTATATTCATAAATAATACCTAGTAACTTTGTAAGTCTACAATGGGCTGATAATTTATATGGAAAACTGTTACTTTAAACATGCAATTATCTAACCCACAGCTAAACTAAACACCCAGAGAAATGTTAGTAAGTTAAAAAAACAAGCATTAAATATTAACTACATGTTAGGTTAACTAAAAGTTAAAACCCAAAAAGTTTGACATGATTAAAATATCCTCAATATGACCTCAAATAGGGTGCGGAGAAATTTAAATACAAGACGAGATTATACATTTTAAATGACTACAAAGGCGTAGAAAAAATATTAGTTTCAGTCAAAAATAACTTTGATTTTTGCAATTTCTATCCTACAAGAAATAACAAGAACTTACAATTGCAATTGTAAGTTCAAGTTACAATTGTAAGTTCAAGTTACAATTGTTAAGTTCAAGGTACAATTGTAAGTTTAAGTTACAATTGTAGGATGGACTAACAATTGTAACTTGAAGTTACAGTTGCACCTACAACCTACAATTGTAACTTTAACTTACAATTGCAAGTTCAAGTTACAATTGTCAAGTTCAAGATTGAATTGTAAGTTCAAATTACAATTTTAAGTTCAAGTTACAATTTCAGGATGAACTTACAATTGTAATTTGAACTTGCAATTATAGGTTAACCTACAATTTGTAACTTAAACTTAAATTGTAAGTTCAAGTTAAAATAACAATACAAGTTCAAGATTATAACTTGAACATACAACTGTAATTTGAACTTACAACTTTAGGTTTAACCTACAACCTACAATTGTTAACTTAAACTTAAAGTTGTAAGTTCAAGTTGCAATTTTTAAGTTCAAGTTACAATTGTAGGATAAACATTGCAAAAATCAAATTTAGTTTTGGTTGAAACTAAAATTTTTGCTGGTCCTTCTACACTTTCGTAAATGACAAATTTCGTCTCCATTTAACACCTCGAACACCTAGAATGACAATAGGCGCGCGTTTGGCAGCAAAACTTACCGGAAGTCATGTCGAAGCCCAATCCCATGCCGTCCAGTTCGACCACCTGTTGCTGTTGCTGCGATTGCTGCTGCTGCTGCATCATTTGCCCGCCAGACGGCGGTCGCGACTGCGGTTGCGCCTGCGCTTGCGCCGTTCTGGCGCCCAGCGCGGCGCGCAGCTCTTGGCGCACGAATTCGGAGGTGGGCGCAGCGTTCGTGCCACCTTGGAAATGAAAAGATCGTGTGGGAAGTTTGTCGAGATTTCGAGGGTTTCGCGGTTAAAGTATGCACTCCTGTTTCAGGAGGAATGTCGTTTAAATAAACACCAAAAATTCTAAAAACATGCACATTTCAAAAAACTCTAATCTATCGTATCTAATCGTCCCAAAACAGAGCGCACACTTCTAAGAAATGATGAATGATAACAAACAACAAAAACACATAAAGCAACAAAAAACTGCATAACAAAATAATAAAAAAATAAGCGCACAAACAAAAAAGTTATAAAAGCAAAACACAAAAATAAATAGCAACTAATTGGTTTGGGTATTATTAAACACATTCGAGTTCATGACGATTCTATTCTATACTTGAGACGGATAAAAGGGAGGGTTGATTCGGGTTGTATGTGGATAATCCCCAGTGATTTTAGCACAGCTATTTAAGGCGAGAGAGCACATGTAATGTATTCGAATTGGTGATTCAAAAACAACTTTTTTGCGGAAAAAGTTGTTTACGAATGGCCGATTCGGTTGTTTATGAAGTGTTAGACACATTGGTGCCAGATGGATAGTGCCAAGGGTGATGATCATGATCTGGTCCATTACACAAGGCATGTAGAAAAAATTTAGAAATGTATTGTACTATCATTTTGTTGGTAGTATTCAGAGCTGGGAGTATATATAGATACTTTAAAGTAACTTAGTTACTCAAAAGTATCTTAGATTCATTCGGATAGTATCTTAGATACTTTTTAAAGTATCTTGTAACTAAAGATACTTTTAACTCAAAGTATCTTAGAAAAGTAACTAGAGACTTTTCAGAGGTAACTTTCCCAGCTCTGGTGGTATTTTTGATAGTTCAATAAGCTCCTAAACTTTCTGTACACACTTTTGAAGCCCACTATGCATAGAGTCCATATTTTTGTACAAAATTGTGTAATTGTGCACAAAAGAGGCACTCTAGCGATGCAAGGGCGGCGGAGGGGTGCCCTGGACTTACCAGTAGGCTGTAGGTGGGGGGGAGGGGCTGCGCGGCCGCCCCCTCCCCTATCTGACCCGTTGTACTGGGGGGGCATTTGCATTTGGCCCGGATCGTATTGCATATAGGCGGCCTGGTCTTGCGGCTGAAACATCATGGGGTGGTGTTGGTGGTGGGGGTGGGAGGGATGCGGGCTGAGGGGGTGCGAGTAGGGGTTGTGGGACGGCGGCGGTGGGGGGTGGTGTTCCCTGCCTGCGTAAGGCCGGGGGGATCCCAGACCACCTGAAATAATAGCCACCCTTTTTACTCCTCATTTCTTGACCAATTTTTTTTTTTATTGCGTCGTTTGCACCCGGTCACTGCTAGTGGTTTTGTGTGTGCCGCATTCAGATACTATTAACTCAACTTTTAAGTTTTTTTTCAGTGACTAAACTGTACTCACCAAAAACGAAACTTTCTTCTACAAATACTTGAATAAAAAGGTGGTAATATGGATCCTGGGATTTATTGGGACTAGAACTGGGGTATTCAACGTGATATGGCCGTTGCCACTTCCTTAATATGGCAACGGTCATACCACGTTGAATCCCAATACAAATTATTTCGTATAAAATAAAGAAGATTTTTAAAACTACTTGAATTTTGTCCGAGGTCCATATTACTACATTTCCTCTGAGAATTCCTATGAATCATAGAAAAAAGTTTATACTACCATGCATTACTCATTGTAATACCACTGCATGAAATATAATAATAATAATCTAAGTAATAATATAAATAAAGTCACCTACAAATGCATGGGTAGCAAAAAATCAAACCATGCTTAGAACTAGAACACCACGCGTGTCTCAAAAATTGTTTAAATAGGCGAGATCAAAAAATGATCTTTTTGTTTTTTAAATAAAATAAAAACTCGTGAAGAAGTCACACACTATTTGTTGGTAAGTTGTAAGTAAAGAAAATCCGTGGTAATTTGGAAAAAATAACGACAGTTTCTGTACATTCTGTACTATGCTCCACACCTCAAAGTCCCACCACGTGACCACGTACGGAACGCAGTCTTTTGAAAATTTGGCATTTAAGGCTTTTCAGGTTATGTATCTGTCAAAGTATAGTCAATGAAAGAAATATTATTTATAGTGTTACCGCTTATGTTTAAGCGTTAAAAGTTAAAGTTAAATCTTTATAGTATCACAATAACAATGGTTGGTTTAAGAATTTAGGAATATAAATACTACATTTAATGAAATTCCAGTGTAAGGTGCAATATAAGTGATTTTTTGTGCATTGGGTCTACATTTCTCCATAAAATAGTTTTAACTAAACAGCATTTATTAAAAAAAAATCTAACTTCTCTATTATGAAATAAGAATATCTGTATCAAAGGGAGGTTAATGTATTAAAACAAAAAATATCATCTAATTTTGTATTTTAAGGTTAGAAAAATCTATTTTGACCAAAATAAATGAGTGAATTATATGGTAGAGTGTGTCATAAATAAATATAGGTATACTAAATAATTGTTGAATATGGTTCAAATTAAATTGAAGCTTGTAAACTTCTAATGACAAAACTTGTGCATACCTCTCGGCATACCTACTTTATGTTAGATTATAAGAAAACAAACAATTTTTAGAGAAACTTGCAATGTGAAAATATTTAACACTCCCATGACATGTGATTTATTAAAATTTTTAAAGTTATAATGATTTTTTGGTGTATATCAAATTCAGTCAAAGCTTTTTAACTATTTGTATTGACAAAACTTTATGTAGGTACACTTTAAGCTGGATAAGAAAAACTACCACATTTTTAAATACCATATGATACAGTCTTTTAAATAATCCAAAATACTTATTTATTTTGGTCAAAATAAACTTTTCTAACCTTAAAATTACAAAATTAGATGATATTTTTGTTATAATATATTAACCTACCTTTAATACAGATATTCTTATTCCATAATAGAGAAGCTAGATTTTTTTAAATAAATGCTGTTTAGTTAAAATTATTTTATGGAGAAAACCAGATATTTGGACCAAATGCACAAAAATATTACTTATTTGGCACCATACACTTTGGAATTACATTAAATGCAGTATTTATATTCTTAAATTCTTAAACCATCCATTGTTATTGTAATGTTATGAAGATTTATACATTTTAACGCCTAAACATAATATTATTTCTTTCGTTGACTATACTTTGACAGATACATAACCTGAAAAGCCTTGAATGCCAAATTTTCAAAAGACTGCGTTCCGTACGTGGTCACGTGGTGGGACTTTGCGGTGTGGAGCATAGTGCACAAAGAAACCCAAAAACTATCGCCATCTATCCTCAGCGTATCGAACTAAAAACATCAGACTAACCTGGCAGTTGCGTTGTTGCCGTCGGCGCGCTGTTCGCGCGCTGCAGCCTCAGGTACTGATTCTGTTGCTGTTGCTGCTGATAGGCTTGGACGTTGCTGGGCGACGAGGGGGCCTGAAACTCCTGCTGCTGGGGGTAGGGGGAGTGCCGCGTGGCCACCGCCCCGGGGCTGTTGATCGGCCCCCCACCAGAGCTCGACTGTTGCCGGTTTTGTTGCTGCTGCTGCTGCTGAGGGGTGCCCCTCTGAAAATTTCGAAAGCCGCCCTGTCAGAGGGTATGGGGGTGGTAGAGGGGAACGGGGGGAAAGAGAGAAAAATACAAGTGTTTTAGTTTGTTTACTTCCAAGATGACGCCATGGAGATGATGATGATGATGATCTGCGCGACCAATGACGGAGTACCACTTTTTTTTTTTTTTTAAGTAATATTGTGATCACATTTCATTGCAAAAATTCGTTTAGTGAAGATTTTTTGAATCAAGGCTTTTTTAATTTCAATTTTGTGGCACCATGATCTTGTCTGAAATGTTGTGTAGAAAAACGCGTACTTTGTCGAAAATTTGACCAATTAATAACACTATAATAGTTCGAATTACTAACATTTACGTACACCTAAATTACCTAATTTTGGGCTGCTGATTTCAAAAATGCCACTCGTTTTGCTCCAGGACGTCTAAGATTCGAAATAATTGCCTAATAAAATGCTCTGCCCAATTGTCTCAAAATATAAGTTTTATGTCAATATTTTGACGTTTTTTGTCATAGATAAATGTCAAATAGAAATTTTTTTGTTTCATTTTAGCCGTATACTATAGGGGCATTCCACGTTACTCGGTAATTTTTGTCCCGCCCGTCACAATTAAAAATTGTGAGTAAAAACCACAAGTTATAAAATTAATATTTTATAATATTATTTTTATTGTGCTTATAACTTATTAAAAGCATAATAAAACAATATTTTTAAATAAATTTTATAACGTGTAGTTTTTACTCACAATTTTTAATTGTGACGGGCGGGACAAAAATCCCCGAGTAACGTGGAATGACCCTATAGTAGTATTAACCAAAACTAAAATTATAATGTTTTTTTTTGGTAAAAAGTATCATTTTTTGAAATTTTTGTGTCGTTTTTTTAATTACTAATTAAATTGAAAAGAAAACAAAGTAAATGGGTTTCGGTATAAACATTACTATTCGACTATTATTTGATATTTTTTTATTCATATCATGCCTAAAGTACCCAAAAATTCAATCTCCAATCTGATTTATTAAGTCTTTAAACTTTAAATTGTATTTTTACTTGAAAGTGATTTTAAGAACCAAAAATGAAAAAAGAGCAGGAAATGGAAGTGGCAGAGAAAGAAAAAGGAGACGAACCTTTATGTCGCCTTTGTAAATTTGTTTTTCTTTGTTGCGGTACCTTTACGCCCAAGAAAAACCAACGCAATATTTCATTACATATTTTATGAGATATGCCTACCACTTTAATTTTGCAGGAATATTAAATGGACCTTATATTCGAGGTTGTCGCATATGGCAGTGTTAAAGCTGTTATTGAAAATGTTTTGTAAAGAATTTGCGTTTTTTTTTTCATCCCGATAAATTTGCCGAACTGATGAACATGGAGAACGATTTCGATATTTGATACGATTTAATAAATTTAAGGTGGAAAAAAGCAAAATTATGCTACGCATTAAATTTTATGGGCTTAATTTGGATAAAAAAATAACGAAACTTGTTTACTTTTTTGCCCTTTTAATTCAATAATTCAAGAAACTAAGGTGGTTTACTCAATGTTAGGAAAAAAAAGTTTCTAAAACTATCATAGTGGTAATAAATGTGTCACAAGTTACCAACAACAAAAATCCAAAAAATAGTCGCTTTTTTGTTGTTGAAAAAAGTAGATTTTGACGGTGGTCTATTTAATTTGTACCGTAGTTTTATTTTAAAAATTCTATTTGCGAAAAATGTGTTTTCGTCGTTAATGTATTTATTTTGACCGTTAAAAGTGGCACGATGATCTTGTGTGAAATGTTGTGTGGAAAATGCGTACTTTGTTGAAAACTTGACCAATTATTAATAATTGTGTCAAATTACCAACAAAAAAATCAAAAAAAAAACTCACCGCTAGTTGCTGGTTGAGCAGCGAATTCTGCTGCTGCACGGTCATGCGCTGTTGCTGCTGCTGCTGCCACGTTGCCGCCGCCGCGTTTTGCTGCGGGTAGGCCTGTCGCGGCGAAAGCTGCTGGCTGAACTGCGACTGAGGCGACAGCCGCGAAGCTTGCTGGTAGCTTTGCTGCTGCGAAAAACCGCCCTGCTGGCCTATGGGCGACGTCAGCTGCGAATGCGGGGAATAGGGCTGCTGGAAGAAAGACGAAGTTTATAGATTGCCTTCCTTCCTTCCTTCCTTCCTGCCGTAGAAGATGTACTATGCTCCACACCTCAAAGTCCCACCACGTGACCGCGTACGAAACGCAGTCCTTTGAAAATTCGGCATTTAAGGCTTTTCAGGTTATGTATCTGTCAAAGTATAGTCAACGAAAGAAATAATATTTATAGTGTTACCGCTTATGTTTAAGCGTTCAAAGTTAATAAATCTTTATAGTATCACAATAACAATGGTTGGTTTAAGAATTTAGGAATATAAATAACGCATTTAATGAAATTCCAAAGTGTAAGGTGCAATAATATAAGTGATATTTTTATGCATTGGGTCTACATTTCTCCATAAAATAGTTTTAAATAAACAGCATTTATAAAAAAAAATCCAACTTCTCTATTATGAAATAAGAATATCTGTATCAAAGGTAGGTTAATGTATTAGAACAAAAACATCATCTAATTTTGTATTTTAAGGTTAGAAAAATCTATTTTGACCAAAATAAATAAGTGGATTATTTGAAAGAGTGTGTTAATATGGTCATAAATAAATATAGGTATACTAAATAATTAATAGTTAAATTGAAGCTTGTAAACTTCTAATGACAAAACTTGTGCATACCTCTCGGCATACCTACTTTAAGTTAGATTACAAGAAAACAAACAATTTTTAGAGAAACTTGCAATGTGAAAATATTTAATACTCCCATGACATGTGATTTATTAAAATTTTTAAAGTTATAATGATTTTTCGATGTAGATCAAGTTCAGTTGAATTTGTATTGACAAAACTTTATATAGGTACACTTTAAGCTGGAGAAGAAAAACTACCACATTTTTAAATACCATATTATACAGTCTTTTAAATAATCCAAAATACTTATTTATTTTGGTCAAAATAAATTTTTCTAACCTTAAAATTACAAAATTAGATGATATTTTTGTTATAATATATTAACCTACCTTTAATATTGATATTCTTATTCCAGAATAGAGGAGCTAGATTTTTTTAATAAATGCTGTTTAGTTAAAATTATTTTATGGAGAAAACCAGATATTTGGACCAAATGCACAAATATATTACTTATTTGGCACCATACACTTTAGAATTTCATTAAATGCAGTATTTGTATTCTTAAATTCTTAAACCATCCATTGTTATTGTAATGTTATAAAGATTTAAACATTTTTAACGCCTAAACATAATATTATTTCTTTCGTTGACTATACTTTGACAGATACATAACCTGAAATACCTTGAATGCCAAATTTTCAAAAGACTGCGTTCCGCACGTGGTCAGGTGGCGGGACTTTGAGGTGTGGAGCGTAGAACAATACGATTTTCGTATTGTTCATCTTTTACGGGAGGAAGGAGGGTAATCTGTAAATCTTATCTCGAGACTCACATCTCTGTTCGAGATCCGCGACTGTCCCAGCTGCTGCTGGAAGTTGGGCGACAGCTGCGACTCCGGCACGCTGGAGCTTCGCTGCAGCGACACGTTGGGCGCCACCGTCGTGTTCAGAAGCGTATCGATGTTTTGCAACTGCTGAGTCATGTCGGCCGACGTGGCGTTCGAAGGTATCAGCATGTGTTGCTGTTTCTGCATCTGCAGTAACCTCTGTTTTTGTTGTTCCTAAGAAGTTTTAGAAAATGTTATTGTCCGCTAGAGTGTCTAAAAAACCGATTTTTTTTTCAAAAATCGTCAGAGTATCTCTAGAAAACAACCCTGTGAAAATATGAGCTCTTAATATTAATATTTAGAGGTGGCGTTTTGTAATTTTCTATTTCCCATTTAAATAAATAACAAGCTACTTCATAAGTTAGACAAAATTACCCCTTATAGGAAATTTAATGCTCTACAAAAAAGTCTGATTGACATTTTGCGTAAGTCAAACCGTTTCAAAGATATCGAGCCTCAAACTTTCTAAAGACTGTTTATAATCAATTTATATGTATTAACTTGATAATAAATATAGATCCAGATCCAAAATTCTTAATAATTTGACAAATGATAATGATAATTTATAATAAATGAGACGTGTTAAATGTGTTTGATAATAGGGGATTCACTTAAAAAATAAGAAAAAAATAAATAATTCTTTTTAAAAAAAATATAAATAAATATCACTTCTTTTGTACAAATAGGTTACATTGACTAGTTTTTCAGCCAAATCGCTCGACGAGTTTTTTTAAATAAAATTAAAAGTGAGGTAAAATTACTATTTGGTACAAGTACAAAATTTAAACATACTTTTAATTTTATTTTAAAAAACGCGTCGATAGATATGTATGGCTAAAAAACTAGGCCAAATTCAAATGATGTTATATTTATATTTAAAAAAAATGTTACAATAATTGTAATGTGGATCTTGTTACTAAAAAATCTCATAATAGAAAAAATATAAAGTTTGCATAATAAAGCAAAACATTTTTTAGATTGTTTACTAGTTTAGCTATCATTTAAAAGAAAATTAAAAATCCTTTTGTTTGATATAAAACACGGTATATTTTGTCGAAAACAAACGAAATATCAATAAAAATGACAATTTTGTAAAAGTCTAGGAGATAGTACATGGATTTTGTTTTAAGGTATTTTTTGTTGTTTTTTAGGAAAAAATTTAGGTTGTGATGTATCATTTTAAAAAGAATTTATTAAACTTGAACCTAAAAATATGGCAATTTTAGGAGTTAAGATTTAAGCCAAATGATTGATAAGAATGATAAGAATGATTGAAAAACATCTTCTTTCTTTTCCTCGCAATAATTTGTAATGCGTTTTATTGGGACGAGAACTGGGGTATTCAACGTGCTTTGACCGTTGCCGCTTTCTTAATATGTCAATATTAAGAAAGTGGCAACGGTCATACCACGTTGAATACCCCAGTTTTCGTCCCAACAAAACACAGGAATTGTGGTGTTGAGTCTTGTTTTAAACTCATGTTTTTTCACTTACCTGTTGGAGCTTGTTTCTCTGCATGCTGAGCAGTTGTTGGCGGGAGAGGTTGTTGTTGGTTTGGGCGTATTGCGGCGCCCCCTGGCGGCCAGCGCCCCTTTTTATCATTATGTTTTGCTGAGGGTAGTTCGGAGGCGGCGGAAAGTTCCCCTGCTGGTTTGTCTGCAAAAGGAAAAGAAAAATATGTTGTCAACTATTTCGTAGGTTAGGTTAAGGTGCTCACATTGGCAGTAGAATAGGCAGGCGGCGTTCCTGGCAGTGAAATCGGAGACGCTGGACTTTTAACCACGCTTTCACATTGCATCAGATTTTTCTGGATGATGTTGATGGCCATCGTTTCGCTTAAAGTCGTGTGGAAATTGTTGGTCTGCTGGGCCTCACTTGTACCCAACAAGTGCATAACATCGTCCGGTATATGGTCGATAACCTAAAAAAAAAAAAAATGTTTGATATTTGTTGGTTAGTTAACATAAAGCACTTACCTCGTCCAAAATGACGCTCAGTTCCAAATCGTTCTGCATGTTATTGTTCTCCCAGCCGGTGTTGTTGTTATCGGTACTCGACGTAGCAGGCGAGGTAAAACAACCACTCGCAACTTGTCTTTGCAAGTTTTGATTCACCGCTTGCTGAAGCTGGCTGCTGAGGTAGTTCGTTGCTTGCTGCTGCTGCTGTTGCTGCTGCTGACTTCTTTGCAGCTGTATTCTCACGTTGTTGACCCTGGCGTTCTGCTGCTGCTGCTGCATCAAGCTCATCTGGTGGTTCTTGAGCAAGGCGTTCTGATCGGCTATCCTCGGGAGTTTCTCCTGCGGCGTTGCCATGATTTCGGAGGCGGGAACAGGCGGAATCGGCTGGGTTTTGGTGGGCTCTTGCGCCAAAAGTTGCGCCAGCATCTTGTTCTTCTCGCATAGTTTACTCCTCAAATGCCCAGAGGAACTCACCTGCTGCCCATCGAGAGATCTCTTGTTGGGGTTATCGTCCCTATCGTCGCTCGGTCGTTTCCTACCCCTGTTCTCGCCCCCCGCAGTGTTGAATCCCAAACTCTGCAGGAGAGTGTCTTCCTGCCTTTCGTTCTTTTTGTCGTCATCGCCGTCCCTGTTTTCCGATTTGAGCAGCTGCTGGAGCAGCTCGCTTTTCTTCTTCACCCCGGCTTTCGCCTCAAGGTCGTCCTCGTCGTTCTTTTCGTTCAAAAGCTTGAAAGAAATTAAATGAAACTCAACGCTTAAATAGTTACGGTAGTGTGTGCATTTTATCTAAGGGATCACGGTGAATTATTGCGTTTTTAATTGTAAATAAAATTCAAGTTGCGTTTTCATGTTTTGCCAAAGGATCCAATTCGGTAAGTACATTTGTTGGTGCAGAATTAACTAACGATAACTTAACCTAACATAATTTATATTTAAGTTTGGACATTTTTAAGAAATTAGTAAAAAATAATTTTTGCACAAACATAACCTTAAAATCAACCATTTTTATGTTTGAGTTCTCTAAAAAACGCGACAACTGCATTTTAAACAACAAAATATACCTACGAATTTATGGCAACATAATATTATACATAATACATAATATAATGGTATTTTACCGTTGAGTGGAGACTTTCTTAAACAACGCTTTTAATAATGCTAAATGCTGTTTAAATTTAGACGACTTATTCGTTTGACGATTTTTACTGAATTGAAATGTTTACACTTTTCACGTTGATCACTACTAAAATGTGTATTTATTGTATCTAAAGGTACAATTTATATTTACAGAGACTGTATGGTATTTATTTCTTCATTCAGATTAACACTGTTTATTGGAAAACCGGTAAAAACTCAACCCAGGATTTCCTCTCGAAATACACCCAACAACACAACAAATCGAGCCACGGTTTTTTTCCGATATTTTTTAACATTTTCCGGCTTTATTCTCAAAAACACTCGTTTGTAACATAAGCGTTTGACAGCTGATTGTTAAAAGTTGTACTTTTGTTACAATGATTATTGCTTATCTTTTGGATGCTATTTTCAAAGACAGGAAAATTAACTACCAAAATTATCAATAATAAATATTACAGTGTCAGAGTATTTAATTAATGTCTAATTTCTGTACACCTCTAAATGGCAACGTTGCGAGTTTGTTTGTTAAATTGACAACGTTGGGGAAATACTGAGAATTGTTGTGAAATCATTTTAAACCCATTATTAGATATTATTAATGCATTATAAAATGTTTTGAAGATGATTTACCTAATATTTTGTGAGTTTCTAATTCTTACCATTGTATTTTGTGTGAATAAATACACTAAATAAACACTGATTTTTTTTTGAAAACAAAAATAAAAATTATATAAACATTTTCATGAATTGTGCAAAGTATTGAAACATTTTTTTAATACCTACTCAAGAATATTTCAACCTTGAAAAACTTAGATAAAATTATCTGAGGAGCAAAGCATTTCGCCTATGAACAATGACACAAGTATGTACTATATTTATGTGACATAACATTTTTTTTATTTATATTTATTGCAACCATTTCCGAAAATGATTTAAAATTCAAATGGTTGTTATCTGGAAATATAAACAACAACACATCGATTCCGTTGAAAAGTGTTAAGGTAACGTCAGTTTTATTATTTTATGGTGCACATATAAATCGCCAGGTACAAAAATAATATTGATAGCAAGATAACCCCAAAAAAACTTGACCTACCATCCTTAACGTGATAATTTTGAATGAGTATAACGGAGCACGGGTAAACAGAAAAAATCACAACACTGAAAAAAAAATGCGGGCCTCACAGTATTTTTCGCGTTCGCGCGATTTGGGTATTTGCCAGGAACCAATTTTACACACTATCGGCCGAACGCTTTGTAAATGACTGTACGCTCGCGTATTTGAAAATGAAAAAGATAAAATTTATTGATAAGAAGCCCTAATCTCGACCGAATAATTCACTGTGCTTTCGTATATCTCACTGTTTCACACAATTTTTTTTTGTATTAATTATTAGCTTGCGACGTCACGGGAGCGCGTTAAGAATGAAACTGCTTATGGGGGTGGACGGTCTATGTTACCCACCCTGTGCAGGTAGAAATTTTGAGAAGTAATTGTTGCCAATTTCTTTTCTTTTCTATTTTGACGGTGTTGCCACTTTTATGTCTCTTATCATAACAATGGGAATGTCAATTTTATATTTTATTGGGACCACAATCCACACAACAAGGTCTGTTCTATCTCATGCTAAAAATACTAAAAATCTCTGCAACACTGCACAGAGTTTAACGGCGGCCATTTTTGTTGTTTACAATTCTTGTGCTTTGGGTTTGTGCTGTTTAATAATTGTTTTAAACGTTGTGTTTCTTACAGAGGCACTTGTAAGCGTCAAATAAGGCCTTTAAGTGCTAAGAACAACCATTTTACTCCTCTTTTACAATAAATATACCTTATTCTATCAGGGCTGTAAATGACAATTTGAAGGTTAATTTGAGGGTTATAATTTAACCTTAAAATTGACATTTGACAGTTTTATGACAGCCCTGATAGAATAGAGTTTATTTTTTACAATAGAGGAGTAAAATGGTTGTTCTTAGCACTTTAAGGCCTCTTTTATGAGAAACAACGTTTAAAACGATTATTAATCTGTATAAACAGAGCACAAACCCAAAGCACAAAAAGTGTAAACAACAAAAATGATTTTTTGTATTTTTAGTACGAGATAGAACAGACCTTGTTGTGTGGATTGTGTACAAAACGAAAAATATTTTTGTAAAATTAAATTAAATAAAACAAATCAAAAGAATGGGAATGTCAAAAACAATTTTTTGTCAATTTTATATGCACAGTGTTGCCACTTTATAGATGTTTGATTGCGCAAACAAAACAATGGTTTTTGGTTTCAAGGTTGCGAATATTTTGACCGAATACATTTCGTATTTCCTTTTCTTGCGGCGTATAGTAATTACGAATTACCTCATCGGATCTTAATCTAGGTAACTAAAACCCGCAAAAAATGGAGTAGCAATTGAAACGAAATTTTTAATCGAAAAACTTTGGGCTGTCAGCCAATGACAACGCATCGAGCGAATTATGAGTAGTGTATGCCGGTGTAGTTTAATCTGGCCAAACAAATATTGATTTGGGCAAGGTCAAGGTTCGTATGTAAAATAATTTTGTTGTTTACCTGACGTCACCACCGCCTGGGAGAGAGCAGATGCAACAGAGCTTTTAAAAGCGCAATGTGACAGCTATGTGCTCCATCCGCTCACTGTCGCTTTTATTTCGCGCAGGGCCGTAGTCAGCCCAAAATTTTAAATTTTTGAGTATTTTTTTTTTCAAATTTTTTTCCTGTATGTTTTATGTTTTGTCCAATTTAACAATAACCAGGTTAAATAATTTTTTTTTAATTTGAAATGTATGATTTTTTTATAATTTTTTTAAGTCAGAAAAAATAATTTTAGCAAGGCACAAATACACATTGATAAGTTGTGGCTTTATGGCGTTTTAGTCACGGGCTAAAGTTAGCAACAGGATTTTAGTCACGGGCTGAAGTTAGTTGACAGTTGTCAAATGTCAAACAATCTTTAAATGGTTTCTCAACGTCAATACCTATTTGAAAAGTTTATTCGCAAGTTTGATATGATTGATTAAGAAACTCAACGCTTAAATGCTGATATAGTTACGTTAGTGTGTGTATTTTATCAAAGGGATCATGGTGAATTATTGTGTTTTTAATTGTAAACAAAATTCAAGAACTAAATCGTTGCATTTTCATGTTTTGCCAAAGGATCCAATTCGGTAAGTACATTTGTTGGTGCAGAATTAACTAATGATAACTTTACCTAATATAATTTATATTTAAGTTTGGACGTTTTTAAGAAATTAGTAAAAAACAATTTTTGCAAAAACATAACCTTAAAATCAACCATTTTTATATTTGAGTTCTCTAAAAAACGCCAACAACTGCATTTTAAACAACATAATATACCTACGAATTCATGGCAACATAATATTATACATAATACATAATATAATGGTATTTTACCGTTGAGTGGAGACTTTCCTAATCAACGCTTTTAATAATGCTAAATGCTGTTTAAATTTAGACGACTTATTTGTTTGACGATTTTTACTGAATTGAAATGTTTACACTTTTCACGTTAATCACTACTAAAATGTGAATTTATTGTATCTAATAGGTACAATTTATATTTACAGAGACTGTATGCAATTTATTTCTTCATTCAGATTAACACTGTTTATTGGAAAACCGGTAAAAACTCAACCCAGGATTTCCTCTCGAAATACACACATCAACACAACAAATCAAATATTTTTTAACATTTTCAGGCTTTATTCTCATAAATGCGTTAAAAATTAGTACGCCTCTGTAAAGTAATAAACAAGGCAATATATATATTGTAAAAATCACGTAGAAGGCTTTTAACAATTGACAGATGGTCAAGGCATGCTGGACTCATAGATTGGATTTAAAAGTAATAAAATGACCGGTGAAGAATATAATGCAAGATTTCAATTATTTTGTACGATTTAAAACAGTGTTGTCAAGGTTATTAAACCATTAAAATCTATCTTTTATTTTATCATATTCTATTAATAATAATGGTTTTATCAATTCCCTTAATATTCAACACTATCCGATTCCTAGTAGCCGGGCATTAGTGAACAAAGAAAATAAGTCAACTAAAAAATAAACGAGCATTAAGAAGAATTCGTATAAAATTTTTGAGTCATACGCTTTACACAGTCGCACACAGCAATGATTCGATTTTATGTGGCATTTATGGCATGCTTCTGCAGTCATTAGAAGTTTTATTGTACTTTTATGTTAGGAACTGGATTCATTATAAGCGCGCTCCCAAGGGAACAGACCAATAACTTAAAACTGTTTTTGATACTTAACTACTTAACTAAAAACTAAAAAAAAAACAGCATTTACATCACTTGCCTTAGTTAATAAAAAACGCTAAAATACAAAAAAACAAACCATGTTTGTAAACACAAAACAATTTTTTAAATTTTAACTTCTTTCACTGAAAAACTTTTGCTTCTTCTGGAGCACGCTCCCCACAAAAAACTGCACAATTTTTGTGTACGTTAAAGTCGCGACATTTTATTAAATAAATCTTGACCCAGTTTCGCTTGCCGTTTTATTTACACGATATTATTATACAAAAACGTAAAACACAAAACATACAGTCGATATGCGCTGGTTGCATTTCCCAATAATATTCTATTAATATAAAACATAAATAAATAAACAAACATGTACACCAGAAAGTACTCGGAAGAATAATTTCGTAAGTTTTGTGACTAAGAAGTTTTTATTTATGTTTGTGGCCAACGGTGGTAACTCTGTCTATCCATAAAAATGTTAATTATACTGAGTGTTACTTTATGGCCGAAATTTTAATTTCATCGAAATCAACCTTGATTTTTCAATAAGTAGCTTAAGGTTAAGTATTAGTGGGTTTGACCTACTTAAATTAATTTTATATAAGTAAAGCAAAAAAATAAATTTAAAACAAAAAATATGTGTCGTGCAAATATAGAAAACTGGGATATTATCATAAAATATCGAATCTAGGTAATGCGGAAATGTGTATGTACATATTTGCAAAAAATAATAAAAATGCTTATCTTGAAATTGAACGATACGATATATTTATTTTTCTTTTTGGGTTACTCTTAGTAAGTAAGTACATATATTTTTGTACTTGGATTTATTTATCTATGACTGGACCGTCATGTATTTACCATAACTTTTGTAATTTAATTTTTTTTGTTAAAATATGTTTTTTTTCTAAAAAGTAATTTATCCAAACAATACAATAATTAAAATGTATTGAAATTACATTAAAAGAGTGGTTCCCTCGTCTTAATTTCCACCAATCACAAACGCGCAATTTTGAATTACAAATGGTTTCTAGGTGAAAAAACTGTGTGACAGCACCTGTCAGCAGTTTATTCGAGTTTACCCGCGGCAAAACTTGACAGCTGTTGTCACCAAAAATTGTAATTTATATTTTAATTGTTAACTGTTACTCATGAAATAGTCTTGTCAAATACCATTCGGGCAAATAATTTTTCCTGTGAAAAAAATCGAAAAAACACAATCCTAAGTAATATTTTTTAACAAAATGCATTCGTGCAGGTGCAAAAATCCTCCTCTTCGACTCGGATTTTTGTTGCCACCAGCACTCATGCTTTTTGTTAAAATATTACTTAGCAACGTGTTTTTTCGATTCTTTTCGGAAAAATTAAATGCCCTTATGATATTACTTACGAATAAATTTATACACATAACCTATAATATTACATATATCATTTCGATGAAGTTATGCCAAATGCCTCAATAGCAGAAAAAGTACATTTTTGGAGTAAAAAAGTAACGTTTTTGGTTTTACAAATAAATCACACATTGTTTTCAACTAAGCAGATCAAAAATTTTTGAAATTTTAAAAAATAAGGGAAATAAAAAAACGCTGTTACGTTCAATTTCCTGTCTTTGAAAATAGCATCCATTTGGTTTGAAAACGATAAGCAATAATCACGAAAGAGGTCTATCGCAATTTTAATTTTTTTTTCCTCAGCAAGTTTTAGGCTCAGAACTCCCAAACCATTGAGTTTAACAAAATAGACTTGAAAATATTTTTTTTTAAATTAAATGCTCTACAAAAAAAGGTTAAAGTGAAATTTTCCGTCAGATGAACCGTTTCCTTAAAATCATGCCTTAAAAATTGGTATAGTTTTACATTTTGATCTTTTAAATTGGAATTTTGTAATTCATGTAAAAATCAGTACCCATAAAAAACCGATAAATATTCTTATGGGAAATCAAATGCTTTACAAAAAAAGCCTCTTAACATTTTTGGCTAAATTCACTCAATCAAAAGTTATTCAAGGTTAAAATTTCGTTTTGACTTCAAATTTAACCTTGAATAACTTTTGATGGGGTGAATTTAGCCAAAAATGATAAAAAACTTTTTTTGTAGAGCATTTGATTTCCCATAAGAATATTTATCGTTTTTTTTCAGGGTACTGATTTTTACTTGAATTACAAAATTCCAAAGTTAAAAGATCAAATTGTAAAACTATACCAATTTTTAAGGCATGATTGTAAGAAAAGGGTTCATCTGACGGAAAATTCCAATCAAACCTTTTTTGTAGAGCATTCAATTTTCTTCAAAAAATATTCTCAAGTCAATTTTGTTAAACTCAATGATTTGGGAGTTCTGAGACTAAAACTCGCTCAGGAAAAAAAAATCTAAAATTGCGATGATAGACCTCTTAATATTAATATTATGGACTCAAACTTTCACTATAATTTTTTGTTGTCACCCCAAACAATATTTTCGATATACTTTCAAAAAAAAAATAGTCGATTTTTTTGGCCCAGTCCAATATGTACATTCGGTAATTAGCATTGTCTAGTACTATAAATCGTATATCAATAAATTTATACACCTTATTGAATGAACATTACAGCATTGTTGTTGGTCGCTCGATAATTTCCGTTTATACGCAACACGTAATTAATTGTGACAAGTTCCGTGAGTTCCGCACGATTTACCCCGCCGTATCTGCAGTATGACAATAATTGTTATTTACACCGCGTAGGATAGTGAAATAGTGCAAACACAAACCATATACAGCCCGTTCAGAATAAAACCGAATATATGATATATGATAAACGACACGACGAAAGGTCGAGCAGGTAAGACTCTCATTAGCGATGCAGGCTATTTGCTTAGCTACTGCGTCGCGCGTTGGAGGGAGGCGAGGCCACGCCCCATATATATATAGATATATTCGGTTTTATTCTGTATATGGTAGTTCTATAATAGGATCTCTTACCTGTCTCAACATGTTGTTCTCGTTCCCCGATGTAGAGCTCTTTTGCGGTTCTGAATTCTGCAAGGACCTGCTCAACAGGTGCTGCCCTCTGTTGTCCGACCTGCCCCCGTCATCGTCTTCCTGTTTGAGCAACTCCTTCAGTATTTTATCCTTGCTGCTGGACTCAGAGTTACTGTTGTCCATGCTGTTGTTGTGCGGGGGATTGGTGAGGAGGTGTCGCAACCTATTCGACTCCTCCAGGACGTTCGCTTTGGTATCTTTGGCCTCCTCCGCCATGGGGCTGAAGGGGAAGGAGCTGCTGTAGGGGTTGGCAGCCGGGGTGGCTGGGCTCTGCTGTATGTAGTGAGCTAAAGGGCTTTGGGTCACGGTGGAGGGGTTGCTGGGCGGTCTGGGCGTGGACACCGGCGTCACGCTTTGCCTGGAGTCTGGACGCGGTTCGCTCCAATTGCTACCCTCCAAACCGTCCCACGTGTTGGGGGGATACAACTCTTGGAAGTTGAAGTCGCTCTCTAAGTTAAAGGTCGTGAAAGTCGACGTGGCGGTGCTCATCATGTTGTTGCTGGCGGTGGAGCTGTCGCTTCCGGAGCTTACGGGCGCGGAGTTGCCGTTTCTCGCGTTTCCGTTCACGACGGAAGTCATCAAGGGACCCCCCACGGAGGAGCTGGAACAGCTGTTTCCGCCTCCCGGGTCGTTCGGAGCGACCGTTTCGTAGTCGCTGGAACAACGACGGTGTTCAGTGACGATGTGAAGAATTCGAATTTTTGACGTCTTATAAAGATATCACGAGAAACCCTGACTGACTATAGCTCCTATCTCAACAGAACAGAAGCAAGCGCCAAGATAAGTCAGTATTTCGTTCGTTGTTCGTTAGATGGCGAGTCAACTAAGAACCTAAGGTTTTAACAACTTAACTTTTAACAACAAATTATAAGATAACGAAAACCCAAGGAGAGTCTTCTACCCTCCTTAACGAAAATTACATCTTTTCTTACAGCATTATTATAATAATTTGAAAAACGATTGGCAATACTGTAGTATTGCTAACTGCTCTGCCAAAATGCACAGTCGCCACAAACGCACAAAAGTGACGTTGAAATGGTTTTATTTGAATTTTAATTAAGCTTGAAGTTAATCAATGCAATTTTACTAAAAATGGAAAAAGTTTGTTGTGCACCGGGATTTAAAAAAATAAAAAGGTTCTTATTTTTGGCGCCATCTATTTTGATTTTTAACAAATACTGACTTATCTGGCCGGCCTTCAACGACAGAGTTGAATCACCTCCTTCTTCTACCCTGATCGCGAGAATACTTTTTAGATGCAAATGTTGTTCAAATATTTGTAAAAATTGAATTAACTTATTCTTTTGTAAGGTACTATGCTCCACACCTCAAAGTCCCACCACGAGACTATGTGCGAAACTCAGTCTTTTCAAAATTTGTCATTTTAGGTTATCTATACGTTTAAGAGTTAAAAAAGAAGAAATATTTGTGGTATCACAATTACAATGGTTGGTTTAAGAATTTAGGAAAATAATTACTGCATTTGATTTAGGAAAATAATTACTGCATTTGATTTTAAGTGTATGGTGCCATATAGGGATTTCAATCCAGCAGGGTTTTTAATCCAGCTGGATTTTTGCTGGATTAAAATTAATCCAGCTGGATCCAGCAATTTATAAATTTTTTAAAGACAATTTAAAAAAAAATAAAGAATTTTTTTAATACCAGAAAACTTTTATTATTTTTATTTTCATAAGAAACATAAAATAGGTACCAATTTATGGAAATAAAAAATAAATAAAATAAAATTTTAATTCAAATTAATTAATTTATAATGGACGAGTGCTCTTTATGTTATATTATCTATTATGCAAAAATTCTCTAAAAAAAATAATTTTATACCTTAAATTTAATTTGGTCGAATTTTACTTTAGATAGTTGGTATCACAGTCATTGGTTTGACAGTTAATGTCAAAATCGATTCACCATGCCGTCCTTAATTTACTTATTTACAATAAGCGGCTGTTAATGTTAAAGAAGAAAAAAGGATTTTCTTTAGAGAGAACAAAATTTATTGCAAGAAGAGTCTCGTAAGTAATAGAAAAATCAAAAAAATATTACAACCAATATGCAAAATATTATGGTGTTTAAAGTATAGCCAACCTATAAAATCAAAATTTTGGGTGTGATTAAGTATCTCATTACAGCATCGAAAGCGATGTTATAATGAAGTCATTATGAACGCAAAATAGATAAAACATATTTATTTTACCAATTTTCATGTTTTGGTAGTTTTTAAACTCTGTATGATAAATTAGTCAAAAACCTACTTTAGTAAATTACTATTAGTTATATGAAAACCTTAATAAATAATAAACATCATTTTTACAGGATTGAAAAACCTATGAAAAAAAATTTCGTTTATTTCAATTTTTAGTAAATTTATCCTTTTTTAAACCACATAATGTAAATTATATCTACTGTACAATTAAATACTTGTAGAACAACAATTAAAATTCAATCAAATTACTCACAATTCCCACAACAAACAATCCAGGCCACAGCGTCAAGAAGACACTTAATTAGCATGAAACTTAACAACCGAGAGCGAAAAGTACAGTGTAGAAAGGGGTGTAGTGCCAAATTGTTGTGCTTTTGTGGTTTAACTAAACAGCATTTACTAACAAAAAAGCCGAACTTCTGTATCATAAAATACGAATATCTGAATCAAAGGCAGGTTAATATGTTATAATGATTTTGTTATTTTACGGTTAGGTAAACTTTTTTTTACCAAAATGAAGTATTTTGAGTATTTGAAGCGTGTGTTTGGTGGTTATATCAAATATACCTACTAAGCTAATATGCCGAATATTCAAAAGACTGCGTTCCTTACATAGTCACGTGGTGGGATTTTGAGGTGTGAAGCATAGTACCTACGTTAAAAGAACCCTTTAAAGAACCTTATCTAGCACTTACCCGATAATCGAATGCGTGGCCATGATGAAATCGGGATCGCTGGCTTGCCCCTTGAACAGTTTGGACTTGGTCTGCACTTGCACGAACTTATCGCTGGCGATCTGCAGCCTGTACATCTGGCTCGTGCTCTGCCCCGCGCTCACCGTCTCCCTGAGATGCGCGTTGATCTTCTGAACCTCCTGCTGAGCCACCAGCTCTCTCAGCACGCGACCCATCAGCTCCTTCTTGATGAAGTGAGAGATGTTGGGGGACACGCCCGAAGTGTCCACGCAGATAATTTTACCCGACGTGTCTAGTTTGGTGGTGAACTGCTCTATGGTGCAGTTGGTGCGGTCTCTGTGCGAGATTCTGGAAGCCACGCAGAGCAGACACGGTCCGCTGTCGCTACCGTCTTCCTCGCTGGAAACTTGGTCCTTCAGCTGTATGGAGGAGATGTACATGTACTCGTACGAGCTCATGCGCTGCTGCTTCTCCTCCACAGATTCCTCCTGGTCGTCTGGAGGCTTCACCAGCAGTCTGATGTTGAAGGGTCTGGATCTCGAGGTTGGAGGTGAGGAGCTCCAGCCTATCGTCATCGGCAGCAAGCTCGAGCTGAACCTCGCGTGATCCCCGTGGTGAATGAAGTTGTAGATGCTCTTCCCCTCCAAATCCTCTTTATTGAATCTAATATACGTACTCACGTTTTCAGTAACATGCTCCACCCTGCCTTCGCTGTTGACAACAAACAAAAAACCCTCCAAAGCCTCTAACAGCAAGGGCCCGTACATGTCATTGCTGAGTATCGGGGTCCTGCTGGAGCTGACCTCGCCTTGCTGCACTGGTTCTGAGTTCTGAGCCGCCGACTCTTGCTGCTGCTTGATCCTCTTGATCTGGTTGACCGTCTCCTGCAGAATGGCGCACTTGTCGGGCTTCACCGACAGCGAACTCATGTCCGCTATGTTAGCGGATATCAGCTCGGCCAGCTCCTCTATGTAGATGTTCTCCTGCTCCCTGCGCCTCTTCTCATTGTTGCACTTGTTTCTGGAACAGAGTTTTTTGTTAGCGTCCGGCATCTTCGCTGATACCGACTGACTGCGCTAAAAACCGACTCAAACAATAACATTGGCGGCAAAAATGCTGGCTCGACGCATTTTTCCAGCGGTAGCGTATATACATAGATGCACGTGCGACCGTAGTTTCGACAAAGAATACATTCGACTTATATTAATCGCTTGTTGTGACGAAACGCATTAATTTTCAATTAGGAATCCGTTATCGGAAATCGATGTTTAATACAGAAATACATACTTGTATTTGTTCAGCATATTTGTCTCTCGTTTTGTAGGTACGCCGCTACTGATCGACGTTTTGATTAAACTCGAAGTGGACAAATAGAAGGGATTCAGTTTTATAAACTATCAGGTTACCATTAGTACGTAATAAAATTATGTGGAATTCATTCACTTTAAACAGTTTTAAAACAGTTTTCTAACATCAACAGGTTGCCATATATTTAAATGCAACGTTGCCAGCTCGTTTTTCAACACTTTAATATGTTTTATATTTATACAGTGTGTATTAAAACGAATAGATACACTTAAATAAAACTTGCCCACTGTGGTAGGGATTGAATTATTTTTGTTTGAGAATTTATAGGTTTTATTTTTATCGAATTCGTTTGTTTTGTTTTAATGCATTTCTGCAAATAAAAACTAAGTATTGTTTAAAATCCATTAAATTCCAGTTAATGGCGAAAATGTATTTCTTAAAAACTATACACATTTCCCTACGACAGCGTCGGAGCTACTGAACAAACAGTAGACCAAACTGCATGCCCTTGTATCTGGCTGCATGCCGCGCTGTTGCCATATGCTATTATTGTTTCCTAAAAGGGTTGTTTTTCTTATTTTTTCATATTAAAAGTAAGAAAATTAACTAAATCAAATTATTTTTGACATATTATTAATTTTTTTGTTATCTTTAAAGTTTCAAACAAATAAAATTGAACTATTTATTAAATAATTATAATCGTTATCTTCTGATTTAAAACAACCTGGCAACTATGGTTCGTAATTACGAATGGCTTGGTTTAAACCACGCCCAATTAAAGTTGATCAGAATATAATTTGTCATCCTTGTCTCCAGCCTTACTTACTTGATTCTATACAGTCTGTATATCAAAAACTTATCTATACTTTTTAGAAAATCCGAGGTTGATTTACACTTCTGCTTTCGCAAACAATTTAAAATTGACATCGATTATGCATAAGCAGTTAACCAAATAACTTCAAAATTATCTTTTTTCAAAATGGCCGCGTACAATTAGTACGTAATAAAATTATTTAGAATTAATTCACTTAAAACAGTTCAGGCAATTTTGGGACATCTTTAAAAAACAGTTGGAGGTTGCCATATATTTAAATGCAATGTTGCCAGATCGTTTTTCAATACTTAAACATGTGCTGCAACATCTGCAGATGCCTGCTTCCGCTTCCGCAACTGCAGAAGTTCCGCATCTCGTTCTGCATTTTTATATCAAATACTTATCTAAACTTTTTAGAAATGCCAAAGTGATTTACACTTCCGCTTCCGCAAAAAATTTACTATTGACATCGCTTATGCTTTTGCTTCGCACAGTAATAAAATATCTTAACAAAACGAAGCAAAACACTTAAACTAACCACAAGCAGGCGAAAAACTGCCAACCAATTTATTTCCACATTATCTTTTTTCAAAATGGCCGCCGCGTTTTTTCAGCGATCCGCGGACAATAGTATCTGAAATCTCGGTTGTGCAAAAAAGAAAATCCGACTGAAATCGAATCGAGCCTTGGTTTATTGGAACGAGGACACGGCATTAAATGAAAAAATAATTAAAAACAAATTAACCGATTGAAATTGTTCCGTACGCGGGCCTGATGTTTCGTAAATACAACATTATATATTGTAATGTAATTCGTAATTTGATTAGGAGTTTATATTTTACCATTCAGTACTGTATGACGAGTATAAAAATACTAATGTGGCAGTTATTTGCATTTAGCAGATTATCATCGTTTGTTTATTGTTTTAAAACGCCAACCTTGTTAAATAATGAATCTGTCAATTGTTTTGTTCGACCGACGTTATTTTGTTTCGTTTTTTTACATTCTTTTATTATCTAAAAAATTGGGAAATTCTGAAAAAGTAAGTAAACAATATTTTAACCAAACAACTCAGATAGTGTCACTGACAACATTCGCGTGCTGACTAGGTACATTTAAAAGATACGACGATAAACGACACACGCAACGTTGCCACATCTCCTTTCGCATTAAGACGCATGAAAACCCCCCGCATTCAACAACAAATTGGTAAATGAAAACTGCGCATTCACTAGGTATAAAATGTTAAGTGTAAATTATCAAAGTGAAATTTATACACATTATATTCTTCTTTGTAAAACGTTGTAGGAAACCGGCATCAGAGCAAATCTGTTTTAATGTGCATGCTGACAATGGAAAATGCTTACAAAAGGGAAGTCTTTATATTGTGTGCAGCGCATACTGACTTATCGAGTGCTAGTATCGTGCCAATGTCCTCGTTATTTTTTTATTTAGGTTTTTAGAGAATTTTAAAGTAAGAAAAAAAAATAAATGTGTCAAGAAATACCCTATAAAGAGATGTTTAAGCCTTAAAAGGTAAATGTGGCAACCCCTAATATTTTCCTTTTATTGATTTTTGCTAATTGGATATATATATTTTGCATAAAAAACATTTATGAACTTCCAGAAGTTTTACATAAATATAAAATGCTCATTAATTTCATTTTGCGAAGAATGATATAGTTTGTTCACAAACTGAACTTTAGTACGATTTTACTTGTCATCAAAAATCTTCACTTATTGAACGTACTATATCATTTTTTTTTCGCATGTTGGTCGGCCTGTAACGCTTCCGTTTCGTTGCACGAATACCAAGTACCCATGTATGCAAATAAATTATGAAAGACTTGTCATTCAGTACGACACTTTTTTTTTTTCGTTCTTTGCGTATAAAAGTAACCGATATGTTGTCGTACGCGTTTACGTATAAACCCATTGACCCAAAACGCGGCTACCGATTTTATAACGGTACTGCCAACTTTGACAAACAAACGCACTGCGAGTTCCAAGAATGCCTCGCCAGTTTTTTTTTGCGACAAGTAAGTAAGATGTTGAAAAATGCCGTTTTTGGAACTTTTTATGGTAAAATTTAGGTTTTTTTTCAAGCGTATATTTTCATATTATAACACTCATAATCCTACATAGAAATACTTCATTTTTGGCGGATATCATAATGATGTCGTATTGATGTCATTTTATAATATTATTTTCTTATATCTACCAATAAAATATTTATTCGTGACATTAGTTTGATATTTATTTCTGACATCAATATGATATCACCAGAGCGTTACAAAACTTATATTAATCACCATAACATCAAATACTTATCACATTCTTTCTTAAGTGACCCACTTAAATGTGACAAGTATTTGACATTATGGTGATATAAGTTTTGTAACGGTCTTCTTAAGGGATATATGGCAACCCAGCTATAAATGCGCTGTTGCCATTTTTTCAAAATGCGACCTTGACAAATGTTTACGATTTTATGAACTGAATAGTTTTAAAGCGTGATTTGGGGTATACTGGGAAATATGGCAACCCTGCCACTGTCAATTTTTAATATTTTAAAAGTTTTAATATGTGATTTAGAGTAGATATACTAGGAAATATGGCATCCCTGCTATAAGTGCGACGTTGCCATATTGCGTTGCGTTGTTGCCATTTTTTAAAATGCGACGTTGCCGTTTTTTAAATTTTTTATGATTTGTTTATTTTTTTTAACTTTTTATTCGAAAAAATGCGATTTTTAAAAATGTTTCTATTGTTAAAAGCAGAAATAATGAAAACCCTGCTATAAGTGCAACGTTGCCAGATTGCGTTCTAGCTATTTTTTCAAAATGCGATGTTGCCATTTTTGTTATGTTTTTAACATTTTTTTCTACATTTGAAATTTTTTAGTTCTTATTAATCTAGTGACATTATTATTTTTAAGGGACATATGGCAACCCTGCTATAAATACGCTGTTGCCATTTTTTCAAAATGCGACCTTGACAAATGTTTATGATTTTATGAACTGAATAGTTTTAAAGCGTGATTTAGAGTATACTAGGAAATATGGCAACCTTGCTATAAGTGCGACGTTGTCAGATTACGTTGCGTTTTTTGTTTTTTTTTTTGTAAGTTTTAATGTGTCATTTAGAGTAGAAATACTGGGAAATATGGCATCTCAGCTATAAGTGCCAGATTGCGTTGCGTTGTTGCCATTTTAAAATTTTATGATTTGTTTATTTTTTTAACTTTTTATTCAAACAATGCGATTTTCAAAAATGTTTTGTTAAATAATGAAAACCTTGCTATACGTGCGACGTTGCCAGATTGCGTTGTATGTTAGTATGTTCCTATTAATCTAGTGATATTACCGTGTATCTACATGGTTGCCAGATGTATTTTATGACAGTTTGAACAAATTTCGGATATCTTATTTTTGCTACGTCGCCAGATCTCACATGATGCGGTGTTGCCATTTACGGATTGCAACGACGCCATATTATGTTTTTTGCCAGTTTGAGTCGATTTTTTTTTTGGATTTTTTGGTACTTACATTTGAGCTTGAGGCTTTGTTTCGGACTTTTTTCGTTTTTTGTTGACGCCGGTGGCCAAGGCACTCATCTTGGCCCACACCGGGTCTTGCAGCTCACACGGGCCAAGCCTGGAAATAAAAAAAAGAAAATTAGTCAAATGTTTGATTAATTAATATGTATTTTTTTTTATTTTACGGTATTTTGATGTACCATATATGGTAACTGTGATAATTTGAAGACCCAATGAATACATTTTGACGTAGTTTATAATAGTTTAACAACAGAAATTGTTATATAAAATTTAGGTACTTAATTTATATAAATTCAATAAAATCAGGTTTTCAAGGCAACTGGACTGCCTATTTATAATCTTTGTTGAACTATGCAATTAAATTTAATAGTTAAAACTACCTATCACAATTAAAAAATATTGCTCACACTATGGTTGCCTGGGTACGAAAACCGCAAATTGTGGTATTGAAGTGCTTATGCAAATATTTGTAATTACGTTGTACGTCACAAATTCTCAGTACAACATTAAAAAATAAATTAAAAATTTGTTCAGTTTCATAAAGAAAGTTTATGCGCAATATTTAAATTAATTTTGGAGCTACAGTGGGTTTACATAGTATACTATAAAATATTTAATTTAATACCTACATATTGTTATATTGCATAAGACAATGTAAAATACAACAATAACATTTTAATTACAATTATAATTTTAGACGAATTTTCTGACGCAGAACCTTTAAAAAAAAACTCCCAACCATAATATCGACATAAACACCGAGCTCATACACTCTTAGAAAAGACCTGGTATTTGCAATGAAAATTTAGTTCCCAGAACCAATTTTATTAGTGAAAATAGGCACAACAAAAAAATATGTTGTGGGAACTAATACAAATTTGTTTTTACAGTTTGTTGTCGGAACAGCCAATATTGGTAGCTCCAACCAACAAGTTTAAGTGCATCGAAATTAAGTTTTTTTTCATACAAATAATTGATATTTAATGCAATCACATTAGTCTGTCATTTTAGCAGCGTCTAAGTTGTAACAACTGCACTTGCTATTTATCGCAACAATCATTGTATCATGCAGGAATTTATTTTTTAATTGAAATTACATGAAAAAAGGTACATTTAAAGAATTTAATAGTTGGTATAATATAAATTTGTTTTGTACTGTAACTAAGTTATATTTAATATTAAATGCTTGCATTAGTAGCAACAACAAATTGGTATTATTCCACAGTACATATATGTACTGTGCAGGTATACCTGCTTAGTAAATATAACACTTTTTGTGTAAATATTATAAAAAATAGAGAAAGGAAATTCATGCCCGTTCGTTTTATAAATATTTATTATAAATTAAAAAATAACAATATAACTGAAAACACCAAATTTTGATTTAAACATTATAACAAAAATTAATAATTACTCTAAGAAAACATTTATAAATATTTTAACAATAAAACAAAAACGATTCTTTGGTAAATATACACAGATAGGTACATTAAGATGAAATTTGACTATACTTCTTCAGTAAACCGTGATGTTTACGTGAAGTGCAAGCCTTTGTTTAACAACTTAACAATGATTCTTAGGTACAACGTAACATACTTGCATGACACCAGGGGTAAGCATTCGATAAATTTTGAGTGTGAGTGCCTATAATATAGGCCCTATACCAAAAATGCGACTTGAGCTGTAACAAAACAAAACAAAAAAATTCTCGAAATTCCGACGTGTTGGAGACTTTTGGTGGGCACCATTGGATTCAGGAGGCCATTTTCAGTCGGAATGGCATTTTCACATTTTTGGATTTTTTTTCGGACCCCAAAACTACAATAGTGTAATTAAAGGAGTGCAATAATAATACCTAATCTTTAAAAACTGGAACCAATTCAGGTAAACCCCATGTTCCTAATAAATCTGCTACTTCAGTCCGCTCATCCATATTATTTGTTCGAGATATCTATAAGTAACCAACACATAAGAATATATTCTTATATATATGAATAGTTAAAAAGTATGTCGCCACTGAATTTACAGGGCCAAATGACTAATTGTAATAAACTAGTTTCTTACCTAAAATATACACTACACACGAGCTGATACACAAATACAAAAGAACAAACACCACCGAAGTCTGGACGCCGTGCAACACCGTTTGTTTACACTGCAACTGCAAACTTTGTGCATTTAGCGCGCGATTTGTCCAGCCCGGCGCGTGCTTTACTTTTAACCTGTAAACTTTACAGGTTAAAAGTAAAGCACGCGCCGGGCTGGACAAATCGCGCGCGAAATGCACAAAGTTTGCAGTTGCATTAACCTACAGAGACAACATCCCCAACTGACACTTTGTTTCACACCGCTGGTGTCTTAGCTGTGTGAAAAGTGACGCATAGTTTATACAACCGAACCGTTAGTTCCACGGACTAATTTCAGTCAGTTGAGAATGTTACTTAAATATTTGGTCCAACAAAAACATTTTACCGCCGAAATGATTTTTTTGAGATAATGTTGTCAATACTTCTAGCCAACACAAAGTTTCAGTTAAAATAACTTAATCGCCTTTTTGCAGTAAATAATACTCAACAACAAAACTAAATCTTTTCAGGTAATGATGCAAGCAGTTACACATATAAAGGTACTGATTACAAAAAACAAAAAATTTTATTTTCTGCAACAGTTTTACCCCAACGATAATAAGTTAGTTACAAATACCAGGTCTTTTCTAAGAGTGTAGGCAAAGACGCAGATTATTAAAGAAGGGGGGAGAAGGGGGGTAAACTGACGGCACCAGCTGTACACTTTTGTGCCCGACCTACCGCAACACGGGCGTCGCAACGTTGCCAGACTGCGCGTGCGTCGCACGCCTGTTGCGTGCGTGAGCCAGCAGCAAACCCCGACAGCGTTGCCAAGTTTATTATTTTAGAGAACAAGAGCTATATTAAAGTTTAATTTAACGTTTAAAGCTCCCTCTATTGTAAAACTTACTGGCTAGCCATTTGTGGGTATCTTTCCAAGCCTAGCCGTACTTTCTTGCCCCTATGTAGACGGTAAATTCAACTTTATCAAAGTGTGAAAAGAAAAATATTTCTCATCTCGAGATAAACTTGGCAACGCTGTTCTGCCTACGTATATGTCGTAGTCGACTAGACGCCTCTACCCTTGAGTATTGATTTTCATTTTCATTTTTCACTAGGTTCACATTCCCAACACCCCCCCTCCTGCGTTGCCGATGCCTCCTTTGCCCCTTCACTTCTAGACGTGTCACTCCTGTCCCTGTCTGTCAGGGTATGGGGACATAAACCAAAAATCCATGAAGTACAATCAAAATTTAAAAATTTCAACAAAAAAATTTTTTTTTGTATTTTGCGTCCATAATAACTTCATTATAACACGGTGCTGTAATGAGGTACTTTATCCTACCCAAAATTTTATAGCTTGGCTATACTTCAAACAGCATAATATTTTGCATATTGGTTATATTTTTATGACTTTTCTGGCAATGAATTTTGTTTAACACCAAAGAAAATCCTTTTTTTCTTCTTTAACATTTACTGTCAAACCAATGACTGTGATACCAACTATCTAAAGTAAAATTCGACTAAATTAAATTTAAGGTATAAAATTATTTTTTTATAGAATTTTTGCAAAATAGTTAAAATAGCATAAGACCTTTTGTCGCAACATTAGTTCTTTAATATACTATTAAATCACAAATATTAAACTAGGATTAATTACTAAAAAAACCTCATTAACGAGAAACATTTTACCGCGAAAATCGAGAAAGTAATTTTGCGTTTTCAGCTTAGAGTTTCTCCATTTAAATTCTAGATTCGTTCGTTTTCTTATATACTTATACTTATGTTCATTTAAACACAGGTTTTTAAAAATTGTAAAAATTCAACTTGAATAAATTACTCGAGAATCCTGTTCGTACAAAATACAAACAAAAGTGAAAATTCCCAGGCAGAGAAATGCAAGCCGAAAGAAAAGAAAAAAAGGACAATATAGAAACTTTTGTTCGTCTGCGCTGGTAAAATGTTAAAATAGAATGGAAAAACCGACGTTGTTTTTGTGCTTTTATTTCTTCATATTTGTACTCGTGTCGTAAAAAACTAATAGATGCCGTCCATAAATCACGTGACGCTAAAAATGGTCAAAAAATTAGTTATTCGTCAGATTTTTAATAGCTGTATTGGTATTTTTGAGGTTATTGTACTTTTATCAAATGACCCTTATCGCATGCTTAAAATTTATTGTTTTAACTACTCACTTATACCTACTAGAGTTAAATATTTTTCGACAAGTTAACAACATTTTTAATAGCAATAATAAAAAAATAGTTTTGGTAAACAAGTTTTGTAATAAAAATGTATTTTTGTACATCGATAATTTTATTTCTAGCAATAATAAAGTTGTTTGTGAACTTTTTTAAATCGTTTTTTGTACACAAGACGATAAGAAAAAGTTTGCTAATAAACAACATGACGATTTCGCTTTGTTCCTAGTTTTTTTATTAATTCTCACATTCGTAAAGTTTCCACTTCAAAATATTTTTCAGTAACAGTAACAATATCGATCTCCCTCTAAATGCGAATAATTTCACTGGAAAATCTAGAGCGATCAATACTTTGCCTCGAACTCTTTAAATATTACCAACGCAAGAAAAAACATTTAAGAAAGTTTTTCAACAAAATTAGTTTGGTTCAAATCTTTATGTAAGTTAAGCAATAATTGTTTCAAATATTGTCTATTCTCTTTTTAACTTTTGCTCGACTTTAAATAAAGGTTAGGATATAATGACCATGGTTATTTCAAAAGGTAAAGAGAGGATTATGCTATTTTTTGTCAAAGACTGATAGAGAAAAATAGATTGGATAATCCACTTTTACCTTTTAAAATAAACATGGTCATTATATCCGAACCTATTAAAATCGCAGTGTTTTTGTAAGAGACACGGTTTTTAACGTTTTAAAGGGTTGTCCAAAATTTTGGCTTGTGAGGTAGCCCTACATTTAAAGAGATATTCGAAAACCGTTGGTATATTTAGAAGATGGGCTATTTCATTAATAAACCTTGAAAGTTTTAATAAAATTGAAATATATTTGT